TAGTTAAATTTTCATATATTTATTTAATCAAATTTAATGGAGTTAGTGGTTGAAAAGCTTCAAAATCTTCGTGATTGTATAAAGGGGCGCGGCTCGGTGGTAGGCGCGGCTCGGTAGTTAATTACGTTACATCAGGCGGGGCTGAGGTAAGCAGCGATAAGAACGCGATAACTAGTTAACTAATAACTAACTAGTTAAGGTGCTTAGGTCATGGGCGTCCCGGTCGGGCGAGATGCCGAGGCACATGTTTGTCGATTTGTCGATGCTGAAAGTTGAAACAGGCAAGTCAAGAATTGTCGCTCGTCTCCTTGCCTCATCCTCCTCACCTTTCTCTGCTTCCCTCTCTTTCTCTCGGGCTCTTTGAGAGGGGGATCGCTTGCCGCAACTTCTTCGCAATCGACATCGATCTCTGATGGCTTCCGCAGAAATCTCAGCCGATATCTTCAGCTCATTGTCTATTCCGCTCCTGGTCTCAGGGCTGCTCGCAATGGGCCTGCTGTCGTGGATGCGACCGGGTGGTCGGGTGTCATTCTATCATTCGAAAGACAATGGTCTGCTGCTGGCGAAAAAGGCCGGCAAATCCGGTGCCAAAGATCAGATAACGCTGACGGATCTTTGCCGTACTGCCACTCCGGAGAAGTGCGACCTGAATCCGTTCCTCTTCAATGGTCATTTGCAGACGGCGTGGACAACGGTGAAGCATGACCCTGTGCCGGTATACTACAAGCGCCGGGTCTTCGAAGCGGATAGCCCGACCTTTAGCGGGCATTTCGCCATGGATTTTGTGGTAGATCCATATGAAGCCCCCAAAGATGGTCCTCTCACGGATCCAGAGAGAAAGTACACCCAACCGTCCGGTCTACCGGAGCGAACCTCCTTTTTCTCCGAGGACGAGTTCACTACCTTGCCCTCCGATGATACGAAGCCTATGCTGGTGGTTCTTCATGGCCTAAGCGGGGGTTCCCACGAAATCTACTTGCGACACATTGTGGCGCCCCTGGTTGCGGATAAAAGCTGGGAAGCCTGTGTGGTCAACTCTAGAGGCTGTGCTCAAACCAAGATCACAACTGGCGTGCTCTATAATGCTCGAGCTACGTGGGACATTCGTCAGGCTGTGAAGTGGCTGCGCAAGACATTCCCCAACCGGCCTCTATTCGGAATCGGGTTCTCCCTCGGTGCCAATATTCTTACTAACGTAAGTGACTTCCCGTGTGCTTATGGTATTTGTCCTAATCCATCGTTATAACAGTACCTGGGTGAAGAGGGCGAGGCCTGTCAGCTGAAGGCTGCCGTTATCTGCGCAAGCCCTTGGAATTTGGAAATCAGCTCTGTCAATCTGCAAAGTAGCTGGATTGGACTCGAAGTATACAGCAAGGTCATGGGTACCAGCATGAAGCAGCTTTTTGAACAGTAGGGTCATCAGGATCAATTTTTCTCTTCTGTTGTTTGACTAACCCTAATTGCTGTCAGGCATGTGGAGGAAGTCTCCAAGAATCCTCGGATCAATGCTGAAACAGTGCGGAAGATCACTTACTTGCATGAGTTTGATCGGTAAGCAGTCACTACGACACATGTCGAAAGTGTTTCTTTGAGCCTCTCGCTGATCTTATTTACTCCTAGGGCCTTGCAATGCGCACTTTGGGGCTATCCCACGGAGGGTGCTTACTATCGCGATGCCACCTCCACCGATTCAATGCTTAACATCAAAATCCCATTCTTTGTGGTCCAGGCCGAGGATGACCCGGTGAGCCACAGACATGCCCTATTGGAAGCGTGCACCACATTCTGACTTTAGCAGATCGCCTCCGTCAAGGCTTTGCCTTTCCAGGAAATTGAGCAGACACCCTACGGTGTCATGATGACCACCTCGTGGGGTGGCCATCTCGGATGGTTCGAATTTGGAGGCGAGAGATGGTTTGTTAAGCCGGTCAGTTCCCTACTATCCCTTCGCTACCTGATTTCTATATACTAAACATTTTGAGTAGGTAACCAACTTCTTGAATCTCATGGCCAAGGAAATCGACCACGAAACCCCGTTGGTGGTTCAGAATCCAGAGAACGCACCCTGCCACATTCAGAGTCATCCTGGACCCGGCAAAGACCTTGATACGGCACCCAAGCCAAGCTTCAACCCCGTCCACCGCAAACTATCATTGAACATCTTCCCATCGAATTAGAAATTTACCGCCCCCGCAATATATGTTACTGACTTCAGATTGGACCGTCGAGATTCATAGTGCAGCGATATTCGTCATGAGTTGTCATTCATGTCACTGTTAAAAAGCATAGACCAGATGGAAACGCCAGACCCCTTCTAAATACATAGATTTGGTATAGACAGAATAAACTTTTTTGCATAACCTTTCAAGCAAATGAAACGCTCTTTCTCTTCCCCTTGAACTTGGACTTCGAAGCCGCCTCGTCGGGTTTGGGAGCGGCCTTGGTATCCTGCTCAGAATCGCCCTTGCGCTTCCGCTTCTGGCGAATCGACTGTTTGACATCCTCCTGTTTTCATTTCGTTAGTCGATGGTACTGTCACCTAGAATTCGGACAATTGCATTCTGTATACGCACCAACTTGGATTTCTTCTGCGCCTGCCTGGCCTCGGCCTCCTTTCTCCTCGCCTCCCGGATTTCCTCCATTTGGCGCGCCTTCATGAGTTTCGACTCGATTTGACCTTCCTTCTCAGCATTCACCATAGCCAGGATGGTGGCCATGCCCTCCTGTAAATAGATAGTCATATCAGCACCGAGTTTTGGATCACCAAAAAAGAAATCCAATCAACATACCTTATCATCGACGAAAGTCTTTCCCTTCTTCTTTCCCTTCGGTTTCACCACGCCGACCGGCGTAATCGTATTCAGCTTGGGCAGATCCAATTCGGCTTCCAAGTATTGCTTTTTCTTGGTCTTCTTCAACAGCGACGGTTCCGTGCGGGCCTTCGCCTTGACTTCCTGTGGCGGCGGGCGCTTGACATTTTTCTTGCTAATCTTGGTTCCCGACGACATGGGTTTACTATGTTTCGAGTCGCCTCCCGATGAGGACTTTCCTTTCGCCGAGGGTTTGGTCGGCGCCATTGTGCTGTTGCGCGCGGCGGAAATCAACGGCGGATGAAGATATTCAAGGATTGACTGTCAAGGACAGGAAAAATCGAACAAACAGAAATGGAACGATAGAAGAAGTGTGTTTCCTTCTCAAACCCACAACCACAATAGAAGCAGATTCAACCGATCAACAAGACAATCCAGCGCAAAATCTAGGACTGAGGACGCCCGAAAAAGATGGCAACAGGAGAAAGGAAGAAATTTTTGGAACAGGCAGGCGGTGAAAGGGGCCGCTCCGCCCGCGCATTTCAGCGTCACGCTAACCCAAACTGACGCCGGAAGGGAACGTCGACTTTCCTCCTCTCCAGCGATCTTCTTCCATTGTTTCCCTCCCTCCCCCTCCATCAACCTGCCATTGCTCAACCCGCATCGGTCTGCGGATCTCTCCCCGTTACCATGACCATCAACCCTACCTACCTTGCGCAGCGCACGCGCTCCTGTATGTCCCTCAACCCCGTGCCCGCCAGCTCTCCCCCGGCGTGGTCCGACCTTTAGAAATTGCCGCGATGTCAATGGACGAGAGCCCAGAGCTAATTGCACCTCGCGCCTAACAGCTGTCAACTGGGGTGATGCCAGATTTCGTGTCCTCAAGTCTTACCGGGAATGGCTGAGAGCGGTTAGTGATCTCAATTCTTCGCTTGCGGGACGGTTCCTGGGGTTATTCGATCGGATTTGATATGGGTCATATCATTGCCAATCGCCTTTTTCCGACCTGGAAAATCGACTAGAAATGGACTTCTCGTGACTGTGAATTGGAATGCAAATCAAACCAAGCCAGCAAGCTGACCGTTGACATCATTGAACCCATATATTAGTCCCCGGAGATCCAGACCATGTACTCCTTGAACATCCCCGTGTCCGCCATCCGCACCAAGATCCGCCAGGAGTTCGAGAAGCACCGATACGTGAAGCAGCTTGGCGTTGTCGACGTGCTGCTGTTCCAGAGCCACTCCGAGTTCCAGGTGAGCTAGACCTGACCCTGCTCTTTCTTGAGCCCGTCGCATGTCGGCGCAATGGCTTGGACGATGTCCATTATTTCTTTCTCTCCATGCCACGGAATCCTCATGTGGGAGAACAAAAAAGATGTGAATCTATTCTAACTCATCACGCCAAAACCAGGAAACCCTCAACTTCTGGAAGCAGCTGTCACATGTGATGAAGTACTTCCGGCCAGAGGAGGAGCCCGGTGCCCGTCTACCCCCCAACTTCATCTCGGGCTTCTTGGAAGGCCGCAACTAAAATGAAACTGTGTTCTACTTCCTCTTTTTTTTTCCCCCCCTTTTTCATTGGACCTCCGCAGTTCTGCGGACTGGGGCGATAGAAAGTGTTATGTAAATATTGTCGGTCTAGCTAACGTCAGCTTTTTCCTTTTTTTGACTTTGTGGTGTAGTAAATGCTGCTGAGTGTTTTTCGTGTGGTTGGCCTGCCATTGTTTGTAGCGGACTTCAGCTGTCCAAGCTCCTTCTATCTATACGCGCTAGGGGAGACATCAAAGCCTGATATTAGACAACCGTATATATGATCTCACATTGTCAGACAAGCAGAAGCACAAGCCGCACAGCGTGTTCAGCCTGTTCATTCATTCCTTGGTGGGAATATCCGAGCATGAGCTATAAGGCTCTATACAACAGTTATCCATTCACCTTGTGATAGAACCTGAAGCCTCGCCGAAAACAACACCCTACACCTACAACAAGTTGCCCAAAGTATACATCCCAAACACCTAAAGATCGCAAATCCAACCCCTAAAACAACCCCAGTAAAAAAACTCGGCACATCGACATACACCTTCAATGAATAAATTCTATGATCCCAAATGCTAAGTTGCTGACCGGGCCTAAAATGCTCAACCCATAACAGGAACAGAATAGATATACATACATAACGCCATTTAGAGCTTTTTAAAGAAGAAGACAGAAAGAAGAAAAACAAGCTCACCATACTACGAGGTCATTCTATCCGCCTCGGCAGCATTGAATGTATCGCGCGCAGTGGTGAACTTGTCCGTCACGACATCGCAGAGGTCCATCAGCGAGTCTAGGCCCTTTTCCAGAGCTTCCACGGCGTTCGTTGTATCTGGTGAAAAAAGAGGAAGTCAGCATGGATGTGAAACGGTCACATCATTCACAGATACAGGCACCAATCGCAATGCAATGTATTACAACGCAAAGTCGACAAGCAAAGGAAAAGAAAGTCCCATACCATAAGTCTGAATTCGAAGGTTCATTTTCGTCTCGGAAGGATGAGGGATAGTATATCCGCAGAATTCAACCTTAGGGCTAACCACAGAGAAAAAGAATGTCAGCTAAGCCTATAGTGATAACGAGAGAGGAAGAGAGATGTACTTCTTCATGATCGCATAACGGAGCGCATTTCCCAACGTATGACCCTCGCCTTCAAACTGGAACGAAGCAGCGGTTTCGGTGGCTCCAGGGAGCTGGGGAACGTTAGCAAGGGATTGTCCCTACCATACAGCGCGGTATGGGGTTTGAGGAAAAGGTGCAACGAACCACGACGATCCGCTTCTCCTCCATCTCCAGCACCTCGTCCTGCTCGTAGTGGTCTTCCGGGGCCGCGGCGTCCATCATGGACTGGTCCTGGTCTTGAGAATGCACGGAGGAGGGCATTGTTGCGCAGCGATTGAGTTCCTTGAGAGCAATTAGAGGGACGACAACCGGTGTCTCGAGGGCTGGTGTGTAGAAATTAGAATCGAAGACCGAATGCAAATCCCGTCGCAAACTTCATGGGCTGAGGGGAAAAAGTTGAAAAACGGTTATCGATAGACGGCCTGACCGCCTTCGGGGGTCGGAGGTCTTGGCATGCGGTTGACGGCCTGAGGCATTAGTATTATTCATCATTCGGCGGATTGAAGCTCTACGAACCATTCCTATGTACTCCGTATATAGATAGACTCTACACAAGTAATTATTGGCTGCTCCCCTGATCGTGACGGCCAAAGTCCAAATCCACCAGAAAACCGGTACAGTGGCTCAGATCGTAAGACATCTGCGTATGTCTTTGATCACTGGGCATTGTTGGAACGAGACTCTGCCCCCAGCACTGATCGTCGCTCCCGCCAGTGGTTACTGCCCGGTTAGTAGCTGCTATTATTATCGTAAGACACCAGGCCCTTCTTTTGGCCCTGACCCTAGGAGAGCCCGAGACCGACCCATACCAAGGATAATTATTGTCATACGGGCAAGAACCAGAACGTTACTTGCATCCAATGATGACAGGGCCCCCAAAGATGTCGATATTAATATCAACGTTCCCCATCACGGACACAGACGCTAAGGACACTAGCGATGCAAAGAATAGAATCATGGACAGCTCTGAAGCTAGCTTGCTGGGAAGCTTAAAAAAAATTAATATTGCGATCGGCCAGGACCAGCTCGCTTGACGCAAAGACCACCCTTCCGTCCACATGGGAATTGAAGGGTGAGACTACTGAGACCCGTGAGAGTTACTGCGTCGGTTTTAGCCTTTTAGGGAACGATGATGATGCCAATGTTGAATGTCCCTAAGATTAGGATGAATCTTTATTATTAGCCATTTGTCCGTGCAGAATACCGTTTTGAACCTTAGATGGTCAATCGTCATCAATTCCACGCATACACGGCTCGGGATGTTCATGACTGCGGTGTACTCCGTAATCACTCTACGGGGTCGTTACTGGCAGGGATTTGACTTCCTTGTATGGATAAGGATAAACAATAGGGTAGCATCCCTACTTACAAGGGTAAACCGCGGGTACGAGTCAGTCATAAAGAATGCGACCGGGTTAATTTCGCTCCCATGCATGGAGAGTGGGATACCGGATAACGCGATACCACCTTGAGGAGCAAGTTAGACAAAGTAACTATTTAACATCGTGCAGCGGAAAGCAAATTGAAAGCAAAAACCACGGAACTCGAAATCAATAATTTCAGCACGACCCATAAAACTAGTGGTTCGTCTCGGGCAAGTCAGTGGCAGCTGGTCCTGGATTTGCAAGGAACACGCGTGGGCCCACCGAGGGGATATGATCAGGGCTAAGATCAGTATGTCAATTAGACGGCGTTCCTTGGAGATTGGCGCTGCAACCTCGACCGGGATGGCTGGATGTACCCAGTATGTCGCAGGAGATTTATTATGGATTGACATTGGAACTATTTACACCGTAGGGAGTAGTGGTGAGTTAGTCGGATCTGTCGTCGTCGTTGTTTGGCCCAAAGGACGATGCTTATTTGCATGGAACCATCGTACGGAGCAAGCTGAATTTGTCGTGAGATGTCGGCATCAATGGATTCGGGATTAATTAACGGTCACTGATAATCTGACTATCAGCCATTAGGTCTCCAGCCCTCGTCCCTCCCGGCACGAGGACGCTTGGATCTAGTCCGGTCGATGGGAAAAATCGTGACTCGCGATAGATTAAATGAATATTGCCGACTCGCTTGGGGAGTCTTGGGATGGGCTTGGCGGACGATAGGAAGGACCACAGACCAGGAGATTTAGTGATTTACACGGTATCGAGGGGCTACTGCGAGGTAAAGTAATCACCGTCACACCTGCCAACGTGGACATGGATGAGTAGTCTCATATTATTAAGATGAATCATTTCGTTCTTTGATCTTTAGTTCTTTACCATGCGAGGGTTGACCCGCATCGGGGTCTGTCACAAGGGGGGGGGGGGGGAACCCTCGAGACAAATCGATCCACTTTCCGCGCGACGAGCACGAAGATCGATGCATCGTGCGAAAGAAGAGGGGATAGCAATAAAGAGATTGATTTCCCAGTCCTGGGAGAGGGAACGATTTAGCCCCGACCAGCGAGCGATCTGAATGAAATTCCTCCAATTAATCTGTACTCTGTAGTCTGTACACCATCAAAAGCATCGGTTCGTCGTGGTCTGATTGACGGATTGGGGTTGACAGAGGGAACAGGGCATTTACCCAGCCGGGTATATGATTATATGTTTATAATATGGTGATCGGAAGTGTCACTTTTCACGGGTCGAGAAGGGACTATTGTTTCCGGTTCCCACTGGTGAGGTAGACGGGCGTCACAAATAGTGCAAGAGGGGGGGGACTCGAAGGGCAGAAAAGGACCAAAGGTGTCACACAAGCGTCGCATCATCCGTGGGCAGAAAGTCAGAAACGTCGCATGTCTCAGCATGCGCCAATCAGAGCGGGGTCGGGATCCACCTCGTCGACTTTCTGACTTTTCAGGAGTTTCGGATTTTGATTTCATTTCTTTTTCTGATACCTACAGATTATTTGTTCTTACCGGGTACTCAGTAACAAAGCATCGGATTGTTCGCTTCAGACGATTCATTATTATTAATCTCACCAATTTATCCATTCATTCCTGGCCCCCCTCCCCCATCCCAGTTATTCTTGATGCATTTGCAGCCCAACTGAGCTGTTCTCTCCCTACGAAGTAGTATCTGGATTCTATCCTACTCTGTAAATAGTGCATGCCAGAAATTCCCCGTCGATTGATAATTTAATCTGGGGGTTTGAGGGCGTGCTGATTTGATTACTGAATCTTCTTATTCTCCGCCTGGGATGCTTACCGGCCCTCAAATTGATTGATCTGGTTGAATCGGATTGGATTTGCCCTGTCTGACTCCATTCTTTGTCCCACTGCCGTCGTTTGCTTCTGTTTTATTTTATTTTTATTTTTTTATTCCCCCCCCCAATTATTTTTAATTCTTTTCTTTTTCGTCTTGTCTTATCCGTATTTTATTCAATTTGATTATTCTGATTTCTTTTTTGGGTCCCTAGCCATACTCCGTAGTTACAGTTCATCCGTACTAATAATCCTCCCCTCCTCCCATCTACTCCCGTCAGCGCTTCTTCCTCTTTTTCCCTTTGTTTCCTTTTCCTTTCCTTCTTCCTTCTTTCCTCCCTCCCTCCCTCCCTCTCGCTCTCTCTCTCTCTCTCCTCCCCGTTCGGGCTGCCTGCGTGTCACTGGGCCAAAAATCAACGAGACCCCGGTCCATTTCGCTCGCTTGTTCGCTCTGGATCGTTCTGCCAGTCTGACCGACCTCTCAGCGTTGTCACACTGCCGCCAACCAGCCTTAGTTAACCGCTTGTTCCAAGTATCCGACCACGCCTTGTCACAGCTGTCGGTCCAACGAATCCGCCTGGTCGCCCTTTTGTTGGTCCCCCTACGTCTTGGGATCAAAATTAATAAGAATAATCTTTTTTTTTTCTAAATTTTTTTTTCTCTGCTTGATTGTCACAGAACGAGGGGATAATAAAGAAATACAAAGAAACCAAACCCTCCCAAGTTGTACCCACCTGGTCTGGTTTTGTTTGGAATCTCCTTCTCCAACTTGTTCCTCCCCTCCTCCACGATAGCCGCCCTCCCGCCGAGCTCTGTGACCCGCGCGCGCGCTTTTTTGATTCGGTCTCGCCCTCCCATTCCGACCGGAGGTCCATCAACACAGAAGCTTGATACCGGGTCTGCCACATACCGTTTGGCGTTTGCTGAATCTCCCACGAAGCTTTGGGTGGCACAGTGAAACGACCACTCTAGAAGGGGTTTATATACGGGGGCTGTGTGAGACAACCCAGCGTTGTGCATGCAGGACGACTGGTGGCTTTCACATCGACCGAACCATTGTCCATCCTGCATCAACTTGACCACTTTGCGAATTGCTCGTTTATATCAAGGAGTGTTTGTACTCCAGTCCCTTCGCTTCTCTCTTCCTTTTTCCATCCCTTATTTCAAGTTCTTCTATATCCTCCTTCCCTTCGGTTGTCATGATGTCGACCGCCGTTGCACCTGCCACCGCCGCTCCGTTGGCCTCTCCGCATATAAGAAGTCCGAAAAACTGCCCAACCCTTGCGCCCATGACCTCCAATCAGCCTAGCACCACCCCGCCTCGGCCGTCGGGTGCCTCTCGTGATGGATCCTCGACAAAAAGCTCTCCCGCTGGGAAGAAACAAACGTCTCCGGCGTAAGCCACCATTTTCCCCCCTGGTCCGGTTTTGAAGTTGGAGGTATCGGTGAAAGAGACTAACGAATGACCCTTTTCTCCCCCGTGTAATAGATCTCAGAACGGAAGCAACCCTCCTAAAGTGATCGTCAAGAAAGAGCCTCCCTCTTCTCCAGCGATGCAAACGCACTCTCGTCCCCGACCCCGGAAACTAGACCTGTCCACCAGTCTTCCGACTTCTGGAGGCCTGTCAGCTCGCCCCCCGGGTGGTCCTATGACCGCTCGAGAGGGATTCACCATGCAGAATGTCGGTATTGCTTGTTTGTCGCCCGGGTTTCAGACTCACGATCCCATCATGAGAGAACAGCTTCAACGGAGCTTGTCCGTACGAGATCAACAGAGGTCAATTATTGAGGCGCGGATGAACAAGTCCGCCAAGGACGACGGACCGGACGGTGTCAAACCGTCCGAGTCGTCATTTGGGGTCCCTAAGACTGCCTCTTCCAAGAGGAGGCCGCCCCCCGGCTTGTCCATTGTTCCCCCGTCTGCCGCACAGTTCGCCAACGAACGGGTCGTTCAATCCGCCCCGCTGAATCAGACCTTTACCGGAAGGCACCAGGCTCAGCCGTTAACCCGTCATCTTGTCAACCAGAGCCCTACACTGGGCTCGACCTCTCATATCCATCATGTTCCTGCTACCCAAACGAATAACCGTCTTCCTCCACTCGCCGACGTCTTCGGGTCTGAGGCATTGGGTTCCCGTGATCGGGAGTCGAATCGCCCCTCGTATTATCAGGGTGCATCTGGCTCGACGTCTTCTCAATCAAACAATCTGCCTCCCATGCCGTCCCCTCGGATTCCTGCCAGTGCCACGCAGGCCTCTAATCGGCCTCGAGAATACCGCTCCGCCGAAGAAGCTGTCCAGGAACTTTCGGGTGGACGGGAGGAGTTGTTGCCGCGTATAGTTCACTACGGCGGCCATCAGCCCCCGACTCCGCCGTCGCCGCGTATCAACAATGGTCCCAAATCTGCAATGGCTCATCCGGATGCTCGGCCTATGACGAACGCACACGCTCCTCCACCCCCTCACCCCACAGTGTATCAGTCGGAGGGAACCGCCCGCCGTCGCCCTCGCAGTGAATATGAACAGGACAACGGAAGTCCCCCGTTGGGACACGGTCCCGAGCCGCAATACCGACCCAATCCGGCTTTGGCCTCTGGCGCGGGCGCCACGTATGGACCTTTCGGGGCAGGAAGAGACTCTCCAGAAACCCAGCGGAGAAAGAAAGAAGAGTTTCTAGGTCTGTGTGCCAGAGCCTGGGATTTGTTCCACTCCTGAGCGGCCTCTCTTGACCCGGATTAGCATTCTTGCAGGATCTGCGTCAGCGTAAACAATATGCTGAACCCAGCTTATATTGCACCAACAATGCTGAGAGAGCTTGAAGTACGGAATTTAACGGTATATTGGCAGTCTGACTCTCTCCCCTTGAGTGGAGGAGGATCTGCCTGACATTTGAACATGATGGATATGCAGAAACAAAAACAAAATCCATGATTATCTATATGAACGGCATGAACAATATCCTTCAAGTCCAGAGGGATAGTGGTTTATGCTTCTACTTGGGTCATTTTCTTTTCCTTCTTCTCCCTCCGCTCTTTTTCACTCACTCATTCCCTCTTTGCTAGTTGTTCTCCTTTACTACTTATACCATATGCGGCTGCAAGCTGAAATCGGCTTTTCCAGTCCCGCTCAACAAGGCGCTCGGCGTTTCTGGTTCGGGTTTTCGAATTTTCCAAACATCATGCCTCCAAGAGTTATGTCGAGATCTGTTTCTAAGGTTGCTGTTTTTACTTCTTTTTTTATTTTCTTCCGCACATTATTTTTTTTTCGGCAGATCTCTTTTCTCCCTTGCTTTTTTCTTGGTGTGTCAATTTTGACCTTATACTGTTGTTTCTTTTTTATATCGAGGATACCATTTATTCGATTGCTTTCAGTTTTTGGCATAACATCTTTCCTTGGACGATTGTGGATAACTGTCTCATCAATTGTTTGGAGATTTATAATTCTTAGTTTTCTTTTCTCTTGCCTTTTTCTCTTTCTTGGACTGAGTTCGGCTATGATTTTATGGAAAGTTAGGGATGGTTTTAATACGAGGATACATAATTTCCGGCTCCTTCCTCGAGTAATGGTGGGCCTACTATTGCTCCAATCTGAGTGCATATATATTTCAATAAGAGTCATGCGATTATCTTTCCAACCTAATTTGGAACCGGTGTCCTTGAAGATGTAATATTGGGGTATTTCAATGGAGAACTTGAGCGAGAAAAGAAAGATATACACAGCCTGCAACCCTTTTATTCCATCCTCCGGCGTTTTCGGCCTTCACCATCGCCACCATCACCCATACCCCTTCGTTCCCAGGGCATCTCCTTGCGCTCTTTGGATGTCATCTTCTTCCGTCTTCTCTCCAGAGCCTTGGCCCGATCCTTGGAGTTCATGCTCTCGTACTTCTTGAGCATGACCTGCTTCTTCAGATCCGACTTCTTCATGTAGTAGGGGTTACTCTTCTTTCCTTCGCTGATGAGTTGCTTTTCTCGTTTCTTATGGTCGGCCATGACCTCTCTCTCGCGCTTCTTGTTCTCCATGGTACGTAGACGATCGGAAGTAGACCGGATGGTGCGCTTCAGTTCCTCTTTCTCATTTGGATTCTTGGTCTTCGCAAGCTGCTCCTTCAAGGCTTTGAGTTCATTGGCACGGTATTCATCCAGGAAACCGTACGCCTTCTCGGCAGCTTCCGTTTTCGACGGACCGCCTTGGCTCATGATCGTGGGGTCAAATCGTGGATCGCGAGACTTGGGGACAGATGGGGGCTCGATAATCGTTCGTTTGCGGGAAACGGCCTTCTTGGACGACTGGATCATAGGAGCGTGTTTGGACGATCGAGACGCCTTCTCTAAATCTTTTAATGCTTGTCGTTTCTGCTCGCGCGCCTCAAGGATTCGTGCCCGAATGCCGTCGAGCGGCGACGCAGTAGAGGGTTCTTCGGTGGATTTAGATGTTTTGGCGCCGCGCTTGCTTTTGGAGCCCAAAGATGCTTGCGCTTTGGCTAGGGCGCCGAAGGATATGTTGTCTAGAGAGGCTCGTACGTCTTCGTTTCCGTCGTCGTCTTCACTGTCGTCCTCGTCCGCTTCGTCTTCATTCGCGCTGTCCGATTGGGAATCCTCAGACTGATGACGGTTAGCTTGTCGTGCGCTTCCACTCGCGAGGATTCGGGGGTCAAACCAGATCGTCCGCGCCCTCGGATCCATCTTCACTGCCATCTTCCGAATCTGATGCCTGCGAGCCCTCATTCTGAGCCCCGACCTCAGATGGGGCTTCGTCGGAGTAAACATCTTCGTCCTCTTCGGGTCTAGCTCGCACACGGCGTTTGAGAAGATCTGAAATAGGCATTATTTCCAGTCCAACCGGGAATCCCCCAGAGAAGAGATGCGATGAGAAATGCGACGAGAAGTGCGGCGGTGAAGTCGGAGTTTGAAAAAATTCAAGGATACTGCCGGTACTTGGGGCGGTGAGGAAGGCGGGTGTGCCCTATTGGCCGATCTTGACCGTTTTGGGTTGCGATTCGATGATATTTTGCCGTCCGACACAACGTCCGGCTTGCCTTACCTTCTCGTCTGCTCCTGGGCTGCTGTCCTTGCTCTTCCCCTGATCGCCTTCTCGGCATTCTCTGGGATGTCCGTCCCGTCCTGTCTCTTTGTTGCATCCACTCGCCCGGCTTTGACCTCCGCATCTTGTCGCATATCTCGCAGTGGGGGATTCTCCAAGGTACGTACTTGCGACATCCGCGCCACAATGTTTTACCAGACCGGCCATTCGTTGACCCTTGCAGTTGATCTCTGTCTATACGGCGACTTCGACATTACGAGCCGAGCCCTTATCGTCATCCCAGCCCATTCCAAAGCAACGGCCCACAATTTCAAGTGCGAGTGCGAACGAAGCCTCAGACACAGGAATGGGAGCCCAAGGAGGTCAAATGGAGGGCTTCTCCAGGGCCGGAGATCGACCGGGAAACACTGATTCATATGACAATTTCAATGGCAATAATACAAGGACGCCATGGCGGCCGCATCGAGGACGTTGGAACCCAAAATCGGCTCTCAACCGAGAACCGGACAGGAGCGCCTCCCACACTCCTGAGAAAGCGAATGCTGGGAATTCGCGCCGGAATCGCAAAGAGCGCAGTGGAAAGAACCAGGGTCGACATTTGAATCCGGAAGCGCAGGCGTACGGGTCGCAGATGGAACAGCCGTTTGCTTTTCCCGGAATACTGTCGGCTTCATCGCAAGCCTTTCCGTCTCAGTTTTCGTCCAATAATGCAGGATCAGCCCCGGAATTTCCGATGAATCCCCCAAACTTCAACGCGATGCCACCCTTCCCTGGATATCCAGTCCCTGCCGATGTCTTCAATGGCCAGGGATTTCAATTTCCGCCTTTCAATCCATCGGATCAGCAACAACAGTACCAACCATCTTTCATCGCCCCGTCATGGAATGACATGAATAGCTCGGCCAATCTACTCCCGCCGATACCTCCTCCGGCGTTCATGATGAGTATGGGCCTACAGAACCCGGCAATGGCTGGGTCCATGTTCAATGGGTTTCCCTTCCTCCCCTTTGACCCCATGACGCTCGCAACCGCCGGTTCCACAGGAGGATTTCCAGCAATGCCAGAAATTCCACCCGAAGAGGCTTCGCCGAAAGGCCAGAAGAAGAAATCGCCATCCAAAGCTCCCCGCCCTCCTTCGCCCAGTCGGGGATACCTTGCGCAATCGTCTTTACCGCCTGCAGGATCTCAATCTCCCCAGCCTTTCCTCATCATTCTTGACATGAATGGCACGCTCATCTACCGGAAACATCGGCGATTACCCCCGTCATTCGCACGGCGGGCCGGCTTAGAGAATTTTCTTAACACGTTACTAAGAGACTATAAAGTCATGATCTGGTCCAGCTCTCAGCCGGAAACCGTCAACGCTGTTTGCGATAAACTCTTCCCCGGCGACAAACGAAATGCGCTTGTGGCCGAATGGGGCCGGGACAAGTTCAATCTACCGGTCGACCAATACCGCGCCAAAATCCAGGTCTACAAAACGCTGGAAACCGTCTGGGCGGACCCGAAGGTCCAAGCATCCTACCCCAGCTCTCATGGCAACAAGACCCGCTGGGACCAGACCAACACCATTTTAATCGACGATAGCAAACTCAAGGCAGCCAGCGAGCCGTATAACATCCTTGAAATCCCCGAGTTCACCAATGCCTTCGACGACGATCCTTCGATTTTCCCCAAGGTTCTTCGTGTCCTTGATATCCTGGCAAAGCACGACGACATCAGCAAAGTCCTCCGGGACTGGCAGTCCAAATTATCCGGAAAGACCAACATCCTCGACTTTCCCTTCCATGGTGACACCATCGACCATCATTTCCTCAACGCCACGACAACCTCCTCCTCTTCCTCTTCCGCCCAACAAACCCAGCAACAACAACACCCCCGTCCTCCCCCAACTGGCCCCGAAGCAACCGCGCAAGCCCGCAAGGAGCGCCGCAAGATCCGCAAACAAGAACGCAAAGCCCGACAGAAGGAGCGCAAATTCCGCAGCAAGGACGAGCCCACGGCCTTGCCGGGCGGCATCGTCTCTGGTGGCGTTCCGCTTCCAGCAGAAGCAGCAGTAGCAGGAGCCACCGCGGCGACGACGACAGCTGCGACCTCGTCATCCACCGAGGCAGACCATCCTTCTCCGGCCGACGCGCGTTCCCCCTCCCCGGCGACATCAACCGAATCCGAGAATTATCTTCTAGATCGATTAGAGGAGTCGTTGAATGTGAACCAAACAAGATAAGACTTTCGACTTGACTGTGTTGATTTGATGATGACGTTTTGTTTCATTTTGTTACTGACTTCGTACGATTTGCATTGGTGCATTGGGTTTCTTGTAAATTGATTGGACATATCGAGATCGACCTATCGGTCCTCTTCTTTCTTTTCTTTTGGGCATCTGGTCTTGTTTCTCCTTTGAGTCGTCTCTTTTCTTTTTCTTATTTTCCTCGTTTCAATCCGATAGTACTACACTTCTAGATCTAGTCTGGGACTAGATTCGAGCTGCTTTTGATCGTGACTTGACTTGTTGGGGACCGACCGTTGGCTAGTATCCACACACACATGCGTACATTACACATAACATAGATAGATACATATACTGTATCATAGATACCCCAGAAAGAAAAGACATTGCGATGACTCTTAGTTTTATTTGGCTTTTAATAGCTACGCTAATGCAGCATCTACCTGGGTATCCTTTATATATAAGGCTTGGGCATCGTACCAGAGGTCACGATGAAGGTATATTTATACCTATAGGGTATGAAGTATTATATGATTATCCGAGCCTTTTGTAAGGAGATGATTAAAACATTTACATCGAAACAAACAATGGATATTTTTTCATACATAGAGTATTTAGACTTTTTTTTTTTTTTGGGGTTTATCCTTACTAGTTATTATAAGGAGGGCGAGGGGACCTTTCGGCGAATCGAGTGGATGTAACTAACTAGATAGTAAAAGATCAAGAGTAGAATTAATTAGATGATGTGGAAAGATAAATAAATCATGTACTAAGTAAGAAAACCGTAGAAGAGGAAGCTAAACTACCTTACGGAATGCTTACTGTTTTTATCAGTGTCTACGTACTTGCTTTTGGACTTTTTAGATTATAAAGAACATCCTCTAGGAGTATGTCAACGCTATATAGATGTACCGGTAGGAGTGAATGGGAACTAAGGAATGGTAACTGTAAGTCTGATTTAAACAATCGATTTTATCAATCATCCGAACATGGAAGGAGGGGGCGGGGGGCCAGAAGAGTATGGTGAGAATCAAGAACATCAACTAACGGATTATCTCGAAGATGGGGTTGCACGTAGAAAGAGAAAAGTCTTCCCAGCAAGGCGGGATAGTTTATATCTACAGGAACAAGTATGACTACGATGCAAATGCAAGAATAGATATGTAGGTAGGCAGAGCATCAATCAAGTGCTTGCTATGTGTTTGTATTTGCTAGAAGCTAGTTACTGCATCATCCAACATCTCAGATCGTAAACGTGACGTGATATCAAAATTTTTGGGAAAAGAAAAAAGAAGCTTCGAAGAATGAAAACACATAAACCGTTCCACATGGACAGCGTAGACATTAAGGCGGGAGGAGTGAAGGCAGAAGAGCGGACAGGTGGGAGATGAGGCATTCATAACCCAGCTGTCCCGGGGGCACTCTTCGCCTTAAAAAGGGAGAGGTAGGGTGGCGTGGTTTTCATGGAGCCGGGTTTCATCTAGAAGCTCACCCGACTTGAAAACAGGTCAGGGTGACAAGAAAATTGCCTTAGGGTTTCGGCGAAGTCATCTATTTGAAGACGTGGCCATCAACCCAGGGGTATTCCTTGTCGTTGACGGTGATGGAGGTGTCCCAGGCCCACATGTCCTCAACGTACTTGCGGTCCTCCTCCTTGGAGGGGTCGAGCTTCTCGAAGTTGTAGCTCTCCCAGTCAGGGGCAACATCGAAAGCGGGGGCGGACTCCTGGCCACGGACCAAGAAGACACCACGGATGGCGCAGTCGTAGTTGGTACCGAAGACGGACTGAGCACCGAAGAGGTACTTGCGAGAGCCCTCAAGACGAGCGTGGAAACCACCTGAGGAAAAGAGTTAGCAATCAAGAGGCTTCACAGCAGGGAGAAAAAGAAAACATACCGATCAGGTTGTTGGCCATGAAGGTGAGCTTGAGCTCGCTATCGTACTTGTAGTCGACGCGCCACAGAGAGTACTCCTCGGCCTTGTAGTTCTGCCAGAACCAGGGGAGGGCAGTGGGGCGGGTGTCCTCGTTGGAGTAGAAACGCTTCCAGTCGTCGAGAACGAACTCGGGCTTGCCAAGAGCCTCAAGAGGATGCTTGGGCTTCTTGGGGGCCTCCTCAGCGGCGGGAGCGGCAGCAGCAGCAGCAGCAGCGGGGGCAGCCTCCTTCTTGGGCTTCTCCTCCTTCTTGGGGGGAGTGTACTTGATGACCTCGTCAACAAGAACGGGCTTCTCGACAACAGCCTTGAAAGCGGGCTGGTTGACGATGGTCTGGTACCATCTGGTGACGGCGGGGTTCTCAGAGCGGAAGGTCTTGTCCAAGACGGTGGCGAAGGCACGGGTGAGGATACCGGCAGCGAAGAAATCGGCCAGGGTGATACGCTCACCGACGAGGTAGGTGTTGGCAGTGAGGTGGGTGTTGAGAACGGCGAGGTTCTTCAGGGCAGCCTTGGCAGCCTCGTCGACGTTCTTCTTGTTGTAGGCGTCCTTGCCCATGAGGGGGCGGTACCAGGCACCGAAGCGGGGGAGGAGCTCGGAGTTGGCATAAGACAACCAGCGGAGGATGGAAGCATAGTCCTGCTTGGTCTTACCCAAGAGGGTGGTCTTCTCGTTCTGGGAGGTCACTGGGTCACAATTAGCTCATCGCGTCGAGAAATGGAATCATATCAAGGCATGTGGAGAATGCAAAGCAAAAAGACACAAAAGCGACTTCGAAAAATTTTCCGCCCCAAAAGCGGGGTAACAGAAAATTTTGGATCAGAGGTGTAAATTATCAACACTGTTTGTTCTGCCAGGGATAACTAGTAATAAAAAATTGCTCATCATAGTAGAAGACGCTGTGTAGACGATATCAAAGAAACATGTTGCAAAAAGGCTTACCGTAGACAGCGATGGCAATGGCCTCGGAGAGGGTGTAGCCATTGGCACCCTCGAAAGCAGGGACCTTGCCCAAGGGGCTGAGCTTGGTGTACTCGGCCGACTTGTTGAAGGCAGCAGAAGAGTCAGCCTCGGTGTTGACCAACTCCAACTCAACGTCGTTGGCCTTAGCCGCGACGAGGATGGAGATGGTGCGAGGGTTGTCCTAGAGAAAAAAAAATCCAATCAGCCAACCGTTGAGTCAAGGAGGGGGTGCAGGTGCTGGAACCCCACGAAATCTGGAGAGATTCCCAGAGAACGCAAAGAAAAGAAGGAGGTACTGGGATCTTCAGAGAGAATGAATCAAGAGGATGGAATACATACAGGAAGACCGTAGAGCTTTCCGAAGGCCATTGTGAAGGATGATGGATGGAGGGGAGGAGGGGGGGAAGGAGAAGAGGAAAAGAAAAGGGAGGAACGAAATTTTGTGCGAATCAGACGGAGTCGGCGCCGGAGGAACGTTTGCTCGTCCACGTGACCGCGCGAAAAACCTCAGGCCGGTGACCGACGGATTCGGCATCGCCCGCCCAAGGCTGTCTGCCCTTGTCCTTCCTCCCTGCCTGTCGTCTTGCTCAATCCCTTCTCAATCTCTCTCGCTGAGCCAAGGTCTCCTTGCCAATTCGGGCACATCGACCGCCATGGCCTGGCAAACTCCCAATTGCATCGTCCAGGCGATGCAATCCGTCCGTCGGACGGCTCAATTGCGGCCTGTCCTCCGTGCCCCGAAGCTCTCCTCCGCCTCTCCCCTTTCCTCTATACCCCAACAACGAAGAGACGCCCGCGGCTATGCTACCGAGATCGTGGCCGCTCCCGAGATCGATTTCGACCAGTTCAAAGCGCGCCCGGCGCGGATTGTTCCCGCCTCGGCCGCCTACTTCACCGGCAGTCCGAAATTCATCGACCACCTGCTGCGGTTAGAAACCATGTTGGCCAAGTCTGCGGCCATGCCGACAGTATCCCCGACTGATGCTCCTCGCAAGGCATGGCTCAAGCTGCCTCAATTCCGCGACTTTGTCGGGGAGAACGTGCCCACGAAAAAATACAAGCACCTCGTGAAGCTCCTGCAACGACTCAATCGGATCGACCCCATGGTGATTCCGGCGGAAGTAAAATCCACGTTGGATTCGTTCGTTCGTCCGGGAAACCCTTACGCGAACAAGCCACTTCCGCCGACGGTGGATGAGATGGGCCGGGCTCGGGGTCGAGGTAAGCGAAAGGAATCGTCGGCCGTGGTTCATCTGGTTGAGGGAGAAGGTGAAGTTCTGGTGAACGGCAAGAATCTGCTTGAGGCCTTCCCTCGGGTGCATGACCGAGAGAGTGCGACGTGGCCCTTGAGATGCACGTCGAGACTGGATAAGTACAATGTGTGGGCGACCGTCCGCGGAGGAGGAGTGACCGGACAGGCCGAGGCTATTACTTTGGCGCTGGGACGGGCACTGTTGGTTCAGGAGCCCGCCCTGAAGGCCGTTCTGCGGAAAGGTACGCTTGCTTTTTCTTTCTTGCTATTGTTTTTTGCTAATTGTCTTACAGCCGGTGTCATCACGGTGGATGCCCGTCGCGTGGAAAGAAAGAAGGCCGGCCACCTCAAGGCCCGCAAGAAGCCCGCCTGGGTCAAGCGTTAAAACCGATCTGGTCTACTGTGGATGGTTCTCCGGGGGTATGTGTGTGTGTGTGTGTGTGTGTGTGTGTGTGTGTGTGTGTGTGTGTGTGTGGAAGGTCGATGCCCCTATCTTGTGTATCCTTGTGTTTCTCTTTCCTCTCCCTGTATTATTCTGATGTATCCTTGTGATTCTCGACGACTGTATATCCTGTATTGCGAGCATCCCTTTTTAGATGCCATGGTCGTTTCAAGATACGACACTGCATGGTCTCGGCGATAAGCATGTAACTATTGGCGTTAATTCATCCAAATCAATCAAGTCAGATTGGACCGATTATCCGGTTGCACGAGGCTTCGGGGCCATTCCATTGGGCCCGGCGAGGGAATTTAGACCGCCAGACGATGTCCGACATGGATTTGGGCTCTTTGCGGGTGTCAAAAGTTTCTCGGTTCATTTCGTGAAGAAAGTATGATGAGAAGGGATGAGCGGGCGAGCGGCCCCAGACTATTTGATCCTATCGACGGCCAAGGACGTGTTCGTTACACAACGAAGACCGCTTAGTATACGCTATGGCGCACTAGTTCCTCCAGCAGTTCGTCTGGCTTTCAGCAAATACGACGGTAAAGCCACAATGACTAGAACCATGGACGTAGTAAAATCAAATCGGATCGAAACGTACGCGGCGTACGTACGCACATCCAGTAGAGTCAACGTACGAATCAAGGGGAGAGGTTGGGTTACACCGTTGTGGACGCCGCAACGAGCACAAAGAAAGGATAATTATAATCATAATCATAATCGTAATAAAATAAAAGCAAATACTAGCAGAAAGAACACGAAAATCAATTGCAGCCAACAATCGACATGATGCGTCGATGACAATAGCCTAAATCAGTCACCAAGATATGAGTTGCTTGATCAGGGCATACACGCCCGGATGTCCCGTGGCAGCAGAGACAGCGAGACCTCCTGGCCAAGCAGCGGGTGTAGATGACGAGGGAATCAGTCCGTCGACTTCTCTGGGGTTCTCCAGCCGTCCCCCAGTATCCTGAAAGGGAAGCAACGGCATATGCGGACGCTCCTGCGCCGCTCGGACTCGGCCAGAGGGATCTGATAGTCCAAGGGGTTCTACCGTAACAGGCATGCCTCCGAATTTCGACCAAGCGCGAGAAGCACGGCATGTGCATTGGAGGAGCCTGTAGGAGACAGGTTGACGCGCCGGGCCTTCAGGGGTTGCTGTCACCAGGGCAGGCGACACCTTGTCTTGCGGCCTATGGCAGACGTAATTCATATATGACCGACTCCGTTGCTGGGGAGACAGACCCAGATACTGAATAAGGCAACGGGGTCTTCAGAGGAGTATGTGTGTACATGCACCCCGTGTAATCGGACGTGACTTTGCCGGCGGAGGCAGGAATTCTGAGAATCCGCCCGGACGAGACGTGCCACAGGTGGGAAGCAGCGGCCGCCTCCCCTTCTCCCCTCCTTCCACGAGTGACTAAGACTGAAAGTCGGGGATTTTCCAGGGAAGCGCCACTGCTGCGAACACTTTTTATAGCCATGGATGACGAAGAGGTGGGTTGGAAGGCCTGCGGTTCCGGTGATCGAGTTTGACATATCCGACATGACCCACCGACGGTCCTCGGCCTGTAGGGGTCGATCTGGTTGCAGGAAATGTAGGGATGTTTCAGCGACGACAACCGTGGCGAGCCAGACGGATTGACAATCATCCTACAGGGAACCCTCCAGTCCTCTCCGGGGCCGGCTGGGATGACGGAAACCCGTCGATTGGATGGTGGACGTCCCGGCGGAGCGTTAACCGCGCTGCGTACTCCAGATAGCTCTCGTGTTCTGTATGACCTGTTGAGGCAAGAAGCACGAAGAATGACAATCGGAGTCGGAGCGGCATGATGTCAGGAGGGAGGCGACGATATAGGCTGAAAGCTGAAGACTGAAGACCCGGTCTGCAAGGCGAGGAGGGTGGGATCCCCATCGGATCCGAAATCCAAGCAGCACGAGCAAGAGCTGCAGCATGCAGAGCATGATTGCATGAAGCGAGAGAAATGACGGATCCAATATCCAAGTAAGTCTGATCTGATCGCGATCCCGATTCCTCCATGGGCAAATTACCGATTGATTAAAAGCAATCCATCGCCCGGCAGAGTTGCAACCAAGACGTTTAGCGTGAGGCTGGAACCGCCTCACTTTTTCTTTGCATTATTATTTTTTGGCTATGGTTGATTGATGTCTCATTTGAAACCGTCAAGATCGAGTAATGAATAGTAGTTAATGAATAATAATGATCAGTATTCGATGATCCGAGAGAGAGAGGATGATTCCAAATTGACGACGTGACGGGGGCCAAAAGGTGGAGCAGGCGGAGTTAATTGGCTCGAGGGGATTCCCAGCAGGGTGGAAGGTACGAGACTAGTCCAGGCACGATGTCAGATCGAGTCTATCCTCTTGACGATACCGAGCATAGGTACCTGCTCTATACTCTCTGTCTTCCGGGAAGTCCTCCGTCGAGGGCGAGAATACGGGCTGATCCTCTTCAACCCCGTCGCCTCATTTGGAATCCTTCCTTTCCAAAGTAAGACGAACTTGTTCCGGCTGAATGGTTCGGCAATCCCTCATGATCGACCTGCGCCATGACAAGAGAGGGAGATCGGCGTTCTCGGGCTCCAGCGTCCAGGCGCCTGGGATACTGGATATGGCATCAGAGGTTGGATTTGGCATTGATTGGCCCGTCCTCGGGCCATGGAACGGAGGCGTCAACCTAATCGACGCTTTCCCTGGGACGTGAGACGGAAGTAGATACCACTTACTAGTCCTTTTAGTATAGATCAAGGGCGACTCGGTTCTCTCTAGTGGCGGAAGTGGATCGACATTGGGAATTGACGAGTTTATCTATCAAGTCGATGATGTTCCCGTGAATCATCCAGAAAAAATAATCCCTAATAATCGTAATTATAATAAATAATAAATAATAATAATAATTCAACAGAAAAAAATAAGGAAAAAGAAAAGAAAATCGTCCATTGTTCGCCTTCCCTGATTCGTCTTTCTTTTCTTTTTTCTTTTCTTTTTCTTTTCTTTTTCTTTTCTTTTTCTTTTCTTTTTTTTTCTTCGCTCCTTCCCATTTCTGTTTCTTTTGCTTTTCTTAATTCTTTCCTTTTCTTTTCTTTTTCTTTTTCTTTTTCTCTCTCTCTCTCTCTCTCTCTTTCATTGTTTTTTCCTCCCCTCCATGTTCCTTTTTAGTTCGAATTGTGGGGAGGAGAAGGAAGGAGCAGAGCATCCCTCGTGCTGCTCTGCTCGTCCTGTTCGTCAGCGCAATCAAGACGATGAGACTCAACCTCTCTCTCTCTCTCTCCGTGTCTCTTCATATCTTTCTCGGTGTACTCATCTAGTCTACTCCATTCCATTCCTATCCTTCCTTCCGTTCAAGCAAGCTGATCAGCCCCCCCCCCCCCCCCCTCAATAATTGTCGGGTCCCTGGGAGATCTCGGGTCCTATTATCCTATTATCCTGTTTGCGCCTGAGAGGTATTGTATAAGTATTGCCCCCAACCCTCACTCTCACACTTCCCCCCATCCTCACTCTATCTCTGGCTCGCCTCGCTCTCCACTTGCTGTCTCGTCGGTCATAATTGTTTCCCAATAGGAGTTTGGGCTGCAATTCGGAGCATAAGCCATTGGACCTGCTGAAACGTCTGAAAGGAAAACATTTGCGACCCCCCAATCAACTCGCAACCCGACACTCTCTAGTCTTGTTTGAATTTCTTTTTTTTTTTTTGGCCCTTTCTATTTTTTCCCTTTATTACCTCATCTCTTTTTTGAGATCGACCGGGAATCCTTTTCTACAGCCTCCATTCCCTCCCAAATCAACGGCGTTCGGGAAGCGTTGGAGAAGCCCTTCTGCACTTTAAGTATATCCTGTCCCTTTTTTTTTCCCTCTGTGTGCGCGCATTTGTTTGCTTTCTTTTCTCTTGTTCTCCTTCTCTCGCCTTCTCTTTCCCTTCTTCGACTTTTCTTCTTCTTGTTTTCTTTTACCGTTCTCTTGCTTCTCGATCCTTCCGTCCTATTTTAATTGCATTCGTTGTCTGCTTATTTCTCTTCCTTTGTATGACTGAGCCGTGCCCCTCCATACATGCCCCTCCATCGTTATCCTTTGGAGGCCTTCGCCACTAACATCCCCTGTCCACCTTCAGATTGCACGTTCTGGATCTCAATCCCTGCTCGGTTGTACACCGACCAAAAGGAAAGAGAAGGGTACACGCAGGGCCAAAGCTTTTCTAGAAATCAATAAAAAAGGGTAGGGGAAAAAAAAAGAGAAAAGACCCGGCGACATTGAAACGTTTATCCTTTTTTTTTAAAAAAAAAAATAAACTCACGAACAAGGTCTTTTTTTTTAAACCTCATCTCCCTCTTCCCCTCCGATACGTCAGGGGAACTCCCGCCAAACTGGAACCATACGCAAGTCCGCCGCTCTCCCCTCCGGCACATTGGTCCCTTGATCCCAACCCCGTGTGTAGGGACGCTCCGTGGGACCGGCTGGGTGGTATGGATGGCGATACCCAACGTATGAAGCAACATGAGCAGGCACAGTTTGCGACGCGGGCAGGAATGGGCCGGCGTACGGTCTCGCGACCCTACGGGGCCGCGACGGATCGATTCAGACAGGCGGCCCTTCAATCGACACGTGGAGATGCACCGTCCCAGGCGACGGGACGCGCCCGGATGTCCACGTCCACATACCTAGGTTATGAATACCCCGACGGTGCTTTCCAGGGCGGTTCGCTGCAGGGTGACGAGTTACAGCCGTATGCGCCGACGTTGCGCGACCACCAACGTCAGCAAGTGCAGCCGTCGTTCGCCGGCTACGAGTCCGAGATGGTCTACAACCTCAACCAACAGGGCCCAACGCAGTCGCCGTACGAGGTCGTGCCACCCTATGCGACAGCGACACGGCAATCTGCAGCGATGGATGCGCTCTCCTCGCAATTCGCCGTTCCACAGTATTATAATGAGCCGACTGGACCCGGGGTTCCGGCCGTGGGCTCGCCCTACCTGGCCTCGCAGTTACCGCTGGCTGCTTATAACCAGCCGGGGCCCATTGGTCGCTCTGGCACCACCCAGCCCTTTCCCGCAACCATGCCGGACATGACCCCGGTGGGCACGACCGGACGCCTGGAGCCGTCGCCGCCGTCGCAGTTGCAACCGTCGCAGTCGCAGCCTCAGCCTCAGCAACCACCGGCGGGTGAATCTTTCGGTCATCCGAACGAGTCGTATGGGCAGTTTCATCAGGCATTGCGGGAGACCTTCACGGACACGCGCGCCGGCCGATTGGTAGAGGCTAGTAGATCACTCTTGGAAATCTCCGAGTGGCTTGTGACTAATGCGCGGGAACTGGGTATGTTTCTACCTTAGCGTGCCTCCTAATTCTCCTTAATCTTGATTATTTACCCACTTCCTGCTGCCCCTAAGAAAGCACCGACCCAGGCACTTGTACATGCACGTCTCTGGCCAATGCTCTTTTTCGGTTCTGTAATTTTTTTTTTTTTTTTTTGTTATGTTATTTTTTTCCCCTTCTGTGATTAAATCCCAAGCACCTGGATGAGTCTAATTTTGGGGTCTGTACCCTCTTTTCTAAGCAGGCATTTTACGCGACGATCAAGTGCTTTATGCCGACCGACTCCAACTATGGAATGATTTCAACATCTGTTGGTTGGCTGTCTGCCAGAAACAAAAGGATTTGACGCAGGAACTTTTTCAGACGGGCCGCCAGCCGCCCCGGACTAGTCTTCTGACCGGCGAGGTCATGGAAAACCTTGGCAAAGAACTCATCTCATTATGCGATCGAATGGAGCAACATGGCTTGGTGGATTACCAAATGGGAATCTGGGAGGAGGAGATTCTCTGTGGTGAGTTTTATTAATTATTCCTCCCTTTATCCGGAATGGCATGGTCGCCGATTCGACGGGGAAATTACTAACCAAGACAATCTAGTTCTAAGTCAATGTCTCGATCTCATGGAAAGCAGACCAGAAGTCCTCAGTCCCCAAGCAATTTCCGTCCCTGCGACGGCGACCTCGCGATCGTGAGGTTCCATGCATCCATGCATAACGATTGGGGTCCGCTACCTGACAGGAATCGGGTGCAGTCCGTACTTTTGCGGTTGGGCCACCGATCAGTTGCAACCTAACGCAGGAACTAATTTAGTTCCTCCTGGGAGGACCATGCCAAACTATCGACTACTAGATCCCTGCGGCGGCGTGCCTACCTCCATCTCCCTTCTGCCTCCCTCTCATCCCTCCTTGGCCCCCTTTTAGTTGCAAGGCTTTTGTTTGGGCAATCAAGTTGCCTAGCGCCATGCGGCATAATTATTCCTGCATTAGGGCCATCCACTCTGATGGGCTGTGATTGAATATGCGGATGCCTTTGGTCTATTCCGGATACTACATCCACATCCACTCTCCTTCCCCGTGAGGGGCAAAAAAAAAGGAAATATAAAAAGAAAGAAATCACTAGAGAAAGAGCAAAGTGAAAAAATGAACGGGGAAAAAGCAAAGACCCAACTGGTCACGCGGACATGATTGGCGTTCTTCCAAGTTTCCTCGTCTTCTGGGGCTGTATATACCGGGGCACTTTCTCCCTTTGGGTTTTTTTTTGCATCACGGGTTGCGCGGAATGCTTGGGCCGGGGGAGTGAGGCGTATCGCTATCTTGGGGCGAATTTACAGGACATAGATCTTGAGATTTCATCTCTCTGGGGCTTCTTTTTCTTTTTCTTTTTTTTTTTTTTTTTTTTCCCTGCTATTTCTAATTTTCCATAACATATGTCCCCTTCAATCGTCCCAGCCGATACCCTCGCCTTGGGTCAGTGCCAGAATCCGACAGACAGGGTTAGTCCACCTGGTTTTTGAGAATGGGGTAAGACTGACAGATGCCAAACCTCCCTAATCCCAGGTTCCAGGATCAGGATCAGAATACGTGCATGACCCAAGCCATCGGGCTGATGCGGGCTGATCGTCGGCAATCCCCGAGCTTACTTTTTCTTTTTCTTTTCTCTTTTTTTTTTTCGCTGACTTTTGGCTTTTGACTTTGGACCCTTTCCTTGGTTCTGGTCGATTGTTCTCCACGAAGGATGCATGGTCTTTCCCTCGTGTTGTGAGGCGTCAGGCGTGACTTCTCTGGTGAGTGGCGCGCCGATCCTGCAATCGATCGGATTCGATACATCACATCGGGTTTGATGTCATCAGCCATCAGTCATCACTCACTGGACTTGGATGAAAAATGAGCTGGCATATGGAATCTGGAAATGGAGAATGGGCTACTCATCTGGGACGCGTGGCGTGATGAAATTGTACGATATCAGTTCTTTTCCTTTCTCTTTTAGATACTTTTTTAGTTACCTTGACTTGACATAATTATGAGATACCGGTTTTGCAGAAGATGTCGATTCGATGCCTTATTGGTTTGTACGGAGTATGTATTTAGGAGTACGGCAGGCAAGAAAGTAGATTGGTGGGTAGAGTAGCTATTCCATCTATTTTCAGAGGAAGTATATATTCACCATCGGGTTATCAACTAAGACTCAACTCGATAGAATTGGATGGCTCCAAAGAGATACATATGACACGGTACCCACGAATTGACTACCATTCCTGTACTTTTATAGTGTAAATTCATTCGTCCCTCCGAAATAAAATTAAGATATTTGCACCCCAACCTTCCCTACCAACATACCGGGTTCCACTATATACATACATACACACGTACTACTTACCCCCCAAGGTAAAACCCAGTTCAGTCCTACCTACCTACCTACCTTACCTACTTCCCAATCCAAGATCATAAATTGCCCTATCCGGCTTTAATATGCGAGTATTACCAAAGCAATAAATGATTGCAGGTATGTGCCCTCTGTCTGTGGACCTACTCCGGACTTCCTTTATACAGTTACATATTTGGAGAGACGCTAACACCAAATAGGAACCAGAATATTCTTGCCTGAGGACACCAACACTAACATTAACACTCGGATATGATTAGGGTAGGCGGTCAGAGGATCCATACCTGTATGATAACAGATAAGAGAGCGATATAAGATACCTAAACACGGTCGGCAATAATGGAAATGGGTCAGGCTTAGCACCAGAGGAGAGAGATTCAAGATCTTATGTTATATGGTTAGGTTTTTGGACTTTAACATGTGTACGTGAATATAAGATACGTCAATTCCTTTCTCATCTGGGAAAACAAGAAATGGAGACAATAATATATCATGAAGATATGCCTTGATATCTGGGAATACTTGCAAGATCGGGTAGTTCGTATTCCAGCAGGATTGCAGGATCGCGAGAACTAATCATAATAGAGAAAGAAGCGGCCAAAAGAAGCACTCTTTGATTTTAAACTACAGGTTCGTAGATAGGTAGGTAGGTAAGTCATCATCGCTAGTATCATATCATAATCATATCATATCAAAAAGATCGAACAGAATCGATCAGTCAGTCGGTCAGTCAGGTAGAGGGCTGGCTGGTTACACCTCCGGTAACCAGCAGAAGGACGGATATTTGCAGTAACAGAAGCCGAACGGAAATCGACAGAGCAGAGCACCCAAAGCGCAAAAGAGCTTAGAATTGATCTATTCAAAAACGGTCAGCATGCATCACTCCGCATCCCATCCAGTGTCCCCACCCATCCTCCACAAACCAAGCACTCCACGCGACAAGAAAAAAAGAAAGAGAGAAAGAGGGGTAGACATACTCAACGTCATACTCAAACTAACATCCGTATTCTCCACCATATCGGTGAACTCTTCGAAGCTGATCTTGCCGTCCTGATCCTTATCGGCCTCCATAATGGTCTTATCGACAATCTGCTGCAACTGCACGTCCTTCAAGTTATTGCCGACCATCATCTTCAGCACGATGAAGAGCTCGCCGTTGGAGATGTATCCGTCGCGATCGATGTCGTAGACCTTGAATGCGAACCGCAGCTTCTCTTCCTTGTTGCCCTTGGAGCTGAATGCCGAGAGACCGGACACGAACTCTTGGAAGTCGACGTCGCCGCCGCCGTCTTCGTCGAAGATGGCGATCATTCTGTGCGAGAGAGAAAGAGGTGATGGTTAGGCGCGAGCGTTTCTTGTTTGGTTTCGGGTGTTTGTATGGATGGGGCAACTGGATGGGTCGGTTGTGTTTCCCTTCCTCCTCGTCCCCTCTTTCCCCCTCACCTCCCTCCCTCCATTGATGCACCTTTTCTATCTTCCAATGACCGAGGAAGAGCGGGGGACAAGCGGGGGCGGAGTGGATTGATTCCGACGTACCTCGTAGCGAGCGGGTTCGATGACACCTGCGGAAGGGAAAGGAATTCGTCTCGATCAATAGTCCCCGAGCTATCCTGTCGAAAACATGAGCATTATATCCTCCCGCTGCGGAAAAGATCGTCCGATCCAATGTCAAGGCGTACTTTGTCTAGTTTCATGAATCGCTTGCGAAGTCGGTCCACCTCGTCGCGGTCGACTGAGATGAAGGAAGCATGTGAGTCAGTGCTACCGCGTCGCTTCCGCATCCTCTGCCGGATAGCAGGAAGAAAACTCACAGTTGGACGCCGAAACAATGTTATCGAACAGCTGGGATGTTCCGACGGAGCCTCGTCGTCGGCGCGCATCGTACAGGGCGGCATTGTTGGGGCCACCGGATGGTTCCATAGCGGCGGGAGAGGAGGGACGAAGGACTGGAAGGGATGTGTCGGGCGAATAGAGTTTAGAACCGGTAAGGAAGGGGGGTTGGTATGGAGGAGAGGAAGGGAGCTGGCGTGGGAGAGACAACATAACAGTTGCCAAGGGCAGAGCGACGGAGCAGCAATTTGATATCGGCCAGCCCCGCACTAACCGGAAGCGGACAGGCAAGCGAACCCCTGAGGCCGTGCGCGGCTCCAAAACAGGCCACCGCCGGGTGACATTGCAACGTCAACTCATCCGCTGGCGCTGAGACTACGAGATTTCAGCCGTCAATATCTCCCCCCTCCCATCGATTTTCATCACGAAAATACGTCTACGCGATCGTGCATGATCTGACCTATCGGTCCATATTAATTTTGTCCCCCCTCGCCCATGGTTGCCGCCTAAAACGCGCCCCAAAGTTCGCATGACTAGGTACGGGGGAATGGGGAGGACGCGCCCGAAAAAGCTCACCTCCAAGGCCTCAATCCCCATAGTTCGAGAACAGGACATTGATGTCCTTGAAGACGAAGTCCAAAATGCTCTCCAACAGATCGAGACCGGTGTTGAGAAGGCGGAGGAGTCGGTGAGTCGCTCTCCCCCCGAATCGGCTTGGCCCATCCCTGCACCTATCACGTGACATCATCACGACCCGTCCGCCTCGTGAAAATTTCGCACCCCAGATAAGGTCCCCCCAAATTGGTGTCGACTAACGCAATCTTTCCATAGGAATTCCATCTTCAAGTCGCAATTAGTGCAACGGCCCAAGGAAAAGTAAATGAAGCTCACATCCCGACGCCGGAGACCCTCCTCAGTAATCTCCGATATGATGAGCTCTACCCTCCTACCTTCTCGCAACCTGCGACGTACATCCGCTTCTCCTCCACCGTGGAGGACTGTTGCGGATGTCCGTATAACATGACCGAGGAGGATGATGTGTTCCTCAAGATTATGAACCAAAAGCGGGAGGCTGGCGAACCGCCGTGCACCGAGGACCAATTCGAGGAAGTGATGAATTTCTTCGAGGAGACCACGCAGACCAAGCAGCCATTTGCAGCAGTAGATAACCCGCCTGTCCTGAGTTTTGCAGACATGCAGGAGTCCATGGACGCAGCCGTAGAGGACAGTGTAAAGCAATTCGCCAAGGGCATATACGAGCATTGGAAGTCAAGGAGAACGAGCACCGGCAATCGATCTCTCGTGTCAAATCTCAAAGCAAGTACCCTATTCCCAATCGCAATCGCGAAGCTTTAAACCGGCATGCAAGACATCATGCGCTAACATTTTGTATAGTTCGAGACCGGCCAAGATACTGATGACTCTGACCCATATGTCTGCTTCCGTAGGCGGGAAGTTCGCCAGATTCGCAAGACTCGTGGCAGAGACGCTCAGAGTGCCGATAAGCTGAGGAGACTCAGAAAAGAACTGGAAGATGCTCGACAATTGGTCGCTTTGGTGCGCCAGCGCGAGCTGGCAAGGAAGGAAATGCTTTTAGTCGAAAAGCAAGTCTTCCTGCAACGGTCCGAAGTCAAGGAGATGAAGAGGAAACTCAACATCAAGGACGACGACGAGGACCTCATCAACCAGAAGGTAAGCGTGGAATCATGGCCATCGTTGTATGGTACAGATGCTAATCCCATTGATAGCCCAAGAAGAAGCCGGCAGAAGTGCCAGCAGCACAGCGCCCAGCAGCTCCCCAACTTCGCATGCCACCGAAGACTACTACCCAGGTCGCGGAGGACTTACAGCTGCTGGAGGATGTGCAAGCGGAAAAAGAGAACGAGATTATGCGCGATATCAAGCAGAATATCTCCAAGCACATCAAGTGGAACGAGGGCTACTTGGACCTCACCACAGTGCCTCTCTCACCATCCCCCGAGAGAACCTTCGATGGTGCTTTCCGGCCGGCAATCACCACCCAATTGCCAACCCCTCCATCATCCGATTCTTCAGAGAACATGTCGGGTTCAGCTTTAGATACCTTCAATTCCTTAGCCTTCCGAGATAATTTCGCTCCTCATGCCATGGAGTTGAGTGACGACACGAGCAAGATGCCTGCATTCCGGAGGCGTATCGGGCGTGGCGGACGCTTGTGGATTGACCGTCGAAACTTCGCCTCGCGCTGTAGAGCAGAGATGGATCCTTGGAAGGCCGATCGGTTCAAATTTGACCAAGAGGATTCGGACGGGGAGCCGGAGTATGAGTGTGATCCGTACGACATCAACCTTATGCAGCATCGGGCCATGATCGTGGCCAAAGCCCGGGATCAAGCTGCAGCTCAAGCACATGCGCAGGCGCAGGCAGCACAAGCCCAGGCCCAAGCTCAAGCTCAAGCTCAAGCTCAAGCTCAGGCGCAAGCCCAAGCACAGCAGCGGCGAATGCAAGCTGAACAATCAGCCAACAATCCGCCAAACATGGGACAGACAATGGGATCAAATCCCGGGCCTGGTGCCACTGCCCCTGTAGCCGATGCTTGAGCTGGGCTTTTCTTCTTCCTTTTCTCCTCTCTTTCTCCCTCTTATCCTTTTAATCTCTCGCACCCTTTTATTCCATTTTTCTTCTTTCCTTTCACCTATCTCCCTCGCATTTGACAGGCGTTCTTCAAGCTTGTTTTCTTCTCACGCACCCCTTGTACTTTTACACCCCCGACACGCTGATCGTGAGATGTCGCCTGAGAGTTCTCTCGATTGCAACCCCATACCCCCCACATCCACCTGCTTCTTAGGCAGGGTGAAACAAGCAAAGAATTTCAGGATAATGTCGCAGATGGATGGTTTTTTCTTTTTCTCATGACATGACCCTGTTATGCCGCTGTTAGTGTACATAGTGACTTGTTCTTTTTTCTCTTCGACGTCGATCAGTCGATAGACTCTTGTATGGATAGCGAAGCTATGAAGTCAGCAACGAAATAAACAAAAATCTAATATCGGATACAAATCGAGAAAAGCAAAAAGAATCAAGAAGATAAACCTTTCTTATCATGCGCGACGAATCAAAAAAGCAACGCCTGCTGTAGATAGATTCAAGATCTCTGAAACTTGCTCGCTCGGGATTCATCATTGTCGCCATTGGCAGCCCGTTTCTGGGCCGATCCGCCGTTCTGCGACGAGCTTGCAAGATGGTTGTGGACCAAAGTGGCTAGGTTTTGGAGGATTTCCTTCTCGCCCAAACGGACTTGGATTGCCATTCTGCAACGACGAGCCGTTTCTTCGGAGAGACCGGGGGCCCCGGAATGGGCCAATTGGGCCAAGAGCTGCTCATCTTGGGCAATTGTCGTGCCATACTGCGCTTGTTTCAACTGGATGGCTTTCATGAAGATGGCTCCTTCTGTGGGGCCGAACGCGGGCTTGGGGGCCTTCTGCTTGGACCGGTATTGCTCCAATTGTTCGACTGGGAGAGTCAACGTCCGGAGCAGTAGAGAGAGTTCATCCGTGACGATGTTGTCGATCAGACTATGCGGCGATATCCTGGGAATGATGTATCCATCGTCGAGGAGTTCCAAGTACTCAAGAAGTTCGAGCTATGACCGTACGTTAGTATCACATTACAAGAAAGCCTCTGAAGGACTGAGGAGAAATTGATTACCGGAGGCTGTTCCTCGGCATCGGCGTTTGCCAAACCAGCAGCTTCGCAAATGATCTCCAGTGGTAGCTCGACAACATCGTAAGGAGCGTAGTTATCCGTAATATAGCCGTACCGTCTGAGGAGATCAGCACGGGGGATTTCCCCGTAATCGTTGAAGATCTCAGCTCCAGGGCTGATGGGTTTGATAGCTTTCATAACGAAAGTATTTTCATCTTGGAAGAGACGCGCCTAGAACATGGGTGTCCATGTGAGTATGTGCGTTGGGAGCCGGAAAAAAAAAAATCGTGGGTGTTCCGGGAGAGGCTCACGTTGTTCTGGTCCGCATTGGCATTCAGGAGATCCGCCAACGGAACCATACCCTTGGGTAGCATCTCCTCTTCGTCGGTCAGATAGCCGTCTTCGCCATCGTCGTTCTCCTCTTCATCTTCCGGTTTCTCAATATCAAAGGCGTAGGCCATAATAAGGGACCCCATAACGTGGGCAAGGTTGAGGAGCATTTGAGTGCCGGCATCACCATCGTAAGAGGCAAGCCCCTCAATCGGAGGGAACAGGTTCGGATTCGCGCGTACGATAGGGGCGATGGTCTGAAGGATCGATTTCTCGGCACCTTCCTTTCCGATTTTTTCGACGATGGAACTGCCCTGAAGCTCTTGCAGTTCCGAGGCGGTCCAGAACATCAGGGTGTCAAATTTTCGAGGCAGCACCTTAAAGTACGGGGCCCAGGCGGACTGCTCGCCGAGCAGAAACTCGTAGATCATCACTAGCATCAGTGATAGCCATGGGCCCAGCTCCTCCGGGTTCTGGAAGAGTCGATCCTTCAACTGGGAGTTCCGAGTCGACAGAATGAGATGGCGCGGGATGGTAAAAAGCTCTTCACCTTCGGCAATATCGGCTTGAGCCACTGCAGCAGCGACGGTGGACAATCAGAGAGACGTTCTCACAAACTCAGAAAGAGGAACATGAAACTGGTGGAGCAAATCGACCAGGACCAGCGGTCTTCGTTGGGAAGAGGAACGTACCGACGCCTCTGCCGGCAGCCTGAGATCTCAGATCGGCAATGCGGATTTTAGGGTTGATCTGAACCCCCGGCTTCCCAGTCAGCCAGTGCAGAAACTCATCGGACTGGTGCTGGAAATGATCCGGATCAGGGAAGTGAGCTGTGGAAGACATGGCGTCGTGAAGAGGGCTGCTGCGGAGCAAAGGAAGCAGACGAATAAAGTAGAGGTCAGACCACAAACAAGCGAATAGTCTCCGACTCCCAGAGGGCACTCAGGGGACAAAGGAACGAAAGGGAAGGACAAAGAGGATCCAGACAGGACGGGAGTGCACCGCAGCGTAAGATGGCAGGACTGTTCAGCAGAGAATGTGTGCGAAAAGCCAATCTAATAATAATAATAATAGTCCAGGTAAAGTGGGTTTGGGTCAGGACGTACTCCGTAGTAGTGCCAGGCCATAGTTAACGGGAGTGATTACTACACACTAGTAATAGTTACTCCCGTCAGTCGGATAAACGCTGCGGCCGCCCAATCGATAACAGCGGATTGCCCCTCCATCGAGGCTCCATATCTTGTTTTTTTTTTGCGGTCTGTGAACGGCGCTCCCTGTCCCTTCAGAAGTAGGGAAGTTCCCATATAAATCCTTCTTATCTTCTGATCCAACGGCATCATGATCGCCATCGGTATGGAGGGCTCTGCCAACAAGCTTGGCGTGGGCATCATGTTGCATCCCGAGGATGGCAGCCCCCCGCAGGTGCTCGCGAACATCCGGCACACCTACGTCTCTCCGCCCGGCGAGGGTTTTCTCCCCAAGGACACGGCCCGCCATCATCGGTCCTGGGTGGTCAAGTTGGTCAAGAAGGCGCTCAAGGAGGCTCGGTTGTCTGTCCGCGATGTGGATTGTATTTGTTTCACGAAAGGACCCGGCATGGGTGCCCCTCTGCAGAGCGTCGCGATTGCCGCCCGCATGCTGAGTTTGCTCTGGGACAAGGAATTGGTGGGTGTGAACCACTGTGTTGGACGTACGTATAGCCTTAAACAATCATCATGGGTTTCTGTAATTCGATCTGTCATCATCGTCGTATTTTTCCTTTTTCTTTTTTCTCTGTTGCTGTTATGATTAAACCCATCGCGATGTGTAGCCCTAGCACTAACGGTCCCTGTACAGACATTGAGATGGGCCGACTCATCACCGGCTCCACCAACCCGGTCGTCCTCTACGTGTCGGGAGGAAACACACAGGTGATCGCATACAGCTCGCAACGATACCGCATCTTCGGCGAGACCCTGGACATCGCAGTCGGCAATTGTCTTGACCGATTTGCGCGCACGTTACACATCTCCAATGACCCGGCCCCGGGATACAACATCGAACAACTAGCGAAGAAGGGACAACAACTGGTCGACTTGCCGTACACGGTGAAGGGCATGGACTGCTCCTTCTCGGGGATACTGGCGGCGATCGACGGATTGGCCGCGACGTATGGGCTGGGCGGAGAAGAGAAGCCGGGCAACCTGAGCGCTGCAGATGCCGACCGACCGACCCGGGAGGACCTGTGCTTCTCGCTGCAAGAAACGATCTTCTCCATGCTGGTTGAGATCACCGAGCGCGCGATGGCGCATGTCGGCTCAAAGGAGGTGCTCATCGTGGGTGGGGTCGGCTGCAACGAACGACTACAAGAGATGATGGGGATTATGGCTCGAGATCGAGGAGGTAGTGTACATGCGACGGATGAGAGGTTCTGTATTGACAATGGGATTATGATTGCGCAGGCGGGGATGCTTGCATACAAGACCGGTTTCACGACGCCTCTGAAAGACTCCACCTGCACGCAGCGTTTTCGGACGGACGATGTGTTTGTCAAATGGAGAGATTAGCGTCGTTTTCGGGGTTCTTTCTCATGATTCTAGAAGGGCAAACACAAAATTTTTAGAAGGCAAATAATGTAGAATCGGCTAATGACATTGGATGTTTCCAGCATACAAAATGCACTAGCGTGACAGTTAGATATAGTTAACTAACTCAACACAACATGTCCGGGCTATGCCGAGTTTCGAAGACCATGAAATTCTCATCGCTAATCCGGCACTTCCTGATGCTCCACAACAGGATCAACATACCCAATGGAAAGTATCCGATTCCATAAATGGCTTGGTACCTACTCTGGCCACCAGGGGAGGTTAAACGACAACAGATGTTTGCAAAGGGAGCAACCTGACATATGAGGGCAAGCAATTGCCCTTGTTAACAACCATCCGGAGTAATTACATTTCTTAAACTTTGCAGGGTGGCTCACAAAGAGCTTCCCAGATGTACATGAAGGCGAAAAAAGATAAAGAAACGCTAGTGTCCAGTGGCGCTCCTTCGGCCCGGCGAAAGTACAATCGTGCTACTGGCCGGATAGGGCGGAGGGATGAGATATACAATAGCACCTCCTCTACAGCATGTGCTAGCCTGTAATATCTCCTGTCGGCTTATACAGTATTGTCGTCACATACTGCGAATATCCAATTAGCAAGAGCGTTCTCAATGGCATACATCAACTCTGCACCAACTTACCTTGCGCTTGTATCTAGTCGTTACGCTCGTAGCGAGAACACCATTCTTGATGCTGCTTGTGGCAAGATGATTCAGAACCGTGTGGTTGGGGTAGTTCAGAACGCTGCTGTCGTCCTTCATCGGCGTAGTGCCGTTTAAGATGGACTTTCCTAGGAACAGAGGGAGACTTGGAGGAGTAGGCGCTTCACCGATGATATTGACGGCTTGCTGGTAAGCGGGGGTTTCTTGGGTTTCATCCTCCCTGTCCAAGTCGACGAGGAATTGCGGCAGAATACCGCGGAAATCGCCCAAAGGAATCTCCTCGGGCTCTTCCTTTTCGGACTGGTCCTCCACGGTGGATTCATCCTGCGATGCTCCCACCGGATCGGATGGTGCTTGAGGTGGATGCACTCCCGGAGTCGCAGCATTCCGCGAGGTCCTGTCACTATGACTCCGCGACCGGTTTACATCGCCCGCGCTCACTTCAACATAGTTGACCAGGTGGTTGGTGAAGTCCACCGCGGTAGGGAGATTATCCGACGCTCTCATTTCGCCATCAACAATGAATTTCAAATGATGTGTTCCCGGGCGAAGGTTCAATTTCGACGACAAGACCCCGGAATTTTCGCTGTTCCAGACATGTTAGTATCCTCATCAGATAGCATTCGATACCGCATGAGCGTGATACATACCCCCTGTGCAGACGGAATTTCTTTTCCCAGTTCACAAAGGTTCCAGTAACATAAACCTTGTCTCCCGGTGCGGTCCATTCTATTATCGTGGGCACGGCTCGACCCACCCCAGTGCTAGCGTTGGGTTGGAGATCATCCAGCATCTCGTCGTCATCGGCAACCGTGCTGCTCAGTTGTGATTCCCTCGGACCGGCACCCTCCTCTAGCAGCGGGTCGGAAGGAGGCGATCCCATGTATGAATCATCGGGCCCGATGATGGGTGAGCCGGGCGTAGTCGTCGCATCGCCGATCGGTAGGGGCATCCGAGGCGGACGCTGGAGATGAGTGGATTGACTGTAGTACGTATTGTGAGGTGGAGCAGACGGTGCTACGGGCGGATAAGGATCACGTCTCGCGGCGGTACGAGAGACCGGCACCTGCACCGGGTTCGACGGATCGGGGGCGGCGATATCCTTGGGGCGAGATTCCAGCTTCTTTGACTCGGGAACATTTCGTACGGTCGAATCCGCCGGATTGCGGGATTGCAGACGTTGCGCCGGTGCTTGGGTCTGTGATGTTGAATGCCCCGTGGCCGTTTCTTTGGAGGCGGAGGGGTCGACCGCAGTAGCCTTGGAGGTACCGGATGATGCATTGAGCGACGGTTGGCGGGTCACTTTCTTTTCTGTAGAGGGCGGAGGTGTTGAAGGGCTCGCAGCCGACGGAATTTCACCGATAGGGCCCTTGGAAGGGTTGTTACCCATCTTGAGAGGAACGAGCGCAAGGGCGCGACAGACTGGGGGAGGGACAGGAAGAAGATGGGTGAGGAGGGGGGGGGAAGTAGGGACGAGATGGGGGAATGCCGGCGTAATTTAGTAGACCAGCATCAGAGCATCAACCCCGCGCAGGCAGGTAGAAGAGAAGAAGAACCAAAATAGAAGACGGGGCGAAGGAGATTGACGGTGTTAGGGGGGGGGGGGCACAGGCCAGTGACAGTTGACTTGGGGATGATGAGGAGGACGATGACGATGTCGGCGACCCCAGAAAGAGAGGGCGAGAGAGGGAGAGTCTGGCCCAGACGGTTTCCGCTCTAGGGCTTAGGGCTCGGCGGGGCCTGGATGCCCGACGTTATCTCCGAGCTTGGTCCCCTCCGAGTCCTATTGTAACGTTGACCGATGGCCTAAGTCAATATACTCGTGTAGAAGAAGATCATAGTTCAAATTTTTAAATATGAAGAGAATCAGGACCCATTCTACCTCGATACGTCCGTACTCCGTCGAACTTGTTGTCCCACGTTCACGAAATTCCTCGGCAGAATCCCGTTCAAGAGCTGACCGCCAAGGTTGGACTCACCGCCAACTCCTGAGACAGCAGCCTGACCCTGCAGGCACATATAGAGTCACATGACCTAAACTCTAAAAAACCACAGATTTCAGATGAACATTTGGGTCTGGTCAGATCCAAAAATAACTGAATTTGTATGGACTCTAGTGTTTGGAGGGCGCTGGAGGTATCAAATGGTCGAGCTTCCAGAAAAAATTTGTTTATCAGGTGAACAAAAGTGCTAGCTATCCAGAACTGTTTTTAGATTTAGATTATCACCTGTTTTGCGGCTAGGAGAATGGATTTGGCTATCGACCGGTGCTTTTGTTGGGATTCGCGCCATCGAGGTTTTCTGGGGAGAGGCCCGGCATGGGCGGTCAGCCGGGATTCTGCCAGGCCAGAAGGCGGTGGGAGAGGAGCATCTGCCGGGCTGTCCGCCTGTTCATCTCTCTACTCCGTACTCTGATGAACGAGACGGAGAGAAGCCATGTTTGCTTGAGATTGAGGGTTGATTCTACTCTCCCTCCGTCTGATCAATGGCCTGGCTATCAGCGATATCAACGGTGCTCTCTCTGACAACCTATCCCATAACTTATCTCGCCTACTTTGGATATGGCGTCTTGCGACTACTCGTAAACTTACTGATAGGCCTGGCCCGCTATCCGCTGCGATTAGTCCTGTTGCCCTTCAGGGTCCTGGCTCAATTCGAGGTTAGCGAATCACCAAACCCATATACTACTTGATCGTGCTTCGCAGTTGTAGCTTATTACCTTCCCAGGCCATTCTCATCTTCATCACGGCAGCCGTGTGTATTGGGTTCATTCTTGGCGCGCTATTGTATACCACCACGCACTGGACGGTCGAACTGCTCAATCAATGGGTGGGGTTCATCGTCTCGAGCTTCCCCTCGAAGCCGGATATTAAAACCATAAGGGATAGTTTGGCGGAACCTTCGGACCTGATCAGAGGTAGCGGTCAAAGATGGGGCGGAAAGAAATATCTTGAACCTTGGGGTGCGAGTGGGCCTTCGACCTCGACCATACTGGAGGAGGACGACGAATCCAGCTCGGCATACTTGGAGGACTGAAGTCGAGTGGGTTGATGAGGGAGTCAAGAGTCCACGACTATTATGGCTAGGTGATGTGTTACGGTATTAGAGGGTCTATTCTAATTCTCCAAGCCACCCACACATATATTAGAATTGTAAGATAATACACAAATAATTAGAATGGCCCAAAAGGATATGGACTGACGCTGTAAAGAATTGCGTATATAATAAAATCAAAGATAAAAGAAATTAGATTTAATTTCAGTGTTAGCTAAATGAAATAAGCTTAGCGACGTCATTAGCGACGGAGACGAGATCCGCGGCGACCAGCGAAAGGACCGCGACTCGTTTCATCATCACATCACCTTCGAATGCACGTGGAGATCGTCGCCTTTTCTCTCTACCTCCCTTGCTCTTTATTGATTCATTTGCCATCCTCATCTCTTCGATTATCTTACTGCGCCACTCCCTTGACACCTGTCGCACTCGGTCGCATCCGCAGACTCACAACCCTCCTAGACTTGCATATCGTTCCTCCGCCGACCATATGCTTGCGCGTCCTTAACACCAGAGCTTTTTGGCTCGACCCTTGCGACCCCCGGCCACTTGGTCGCATTGACTATCAATATTTCGTGCTGAAAGATCCCCTCGTATATCAATTGGGACCGCTTTCGGTCATCTTCGTTATCAGGTCGATCTGTCCGGTCGCTCCACTTTCATTTCCATTCTCACGTTAATTCCGATTATCCTTTCCCTGCAATGTTTCTTCCCCGACCACTGTCGCGGGTGCGAACCATACTGCTGGCGGTAATTCTCGCCTCGATATTAACCTGGTCGGTGAGGAATTGGCGGCAAGAGGTCGAGTCGCAATCGATCGTTTCTACAGATGGGATGTTATCACCATCCAGCCCCCAAAATGTGATCGGGCAAGACCTCGAGGGCCACGTTCGGTTCTGGCGACATTTCCAGCACCTGCTGGCCGTCAACGAGCCGAAAACCGAACCGCCATTCCGACTAGGCTCGGCGCCGTCCATCCGCTTCGAAGAGGCAAACCCGGACGATCGACCGGAGATGCTGGACATGCTGCCCGAGGATGTCGAGGCGATGAAGGGGGCGCATAGCGGGTTCGTCGAGGAGATCAAGAAGAATGCGCCAAAACTGCACTATGCGCCCAACACGAGGGGGCTGGTTTCCACGGCGGGAGGCTCATACCTGCCGGTCTTGGTGATCTCGTTACGAATGCTGCGGCATACAGGCTCTGAATTGCCCGTGGAGGTGTTTCTCGCCGATGAGGAGGAATATGAAGACTACATTTGCGACGTGGTCCTGCCGTCTCTGAATGCGCGCTGTGTGGTCCTCTCCCATATCCTGGACGCGGTTCCTAAGATCATGGATATCCAAAAATACCAATTCAAGCTATTCGCCATGTTGTTTTCCTCCTTTGAGGAGATCCTGTTCCTCGATGCCGACGCATTCCCGCTGCGGCAGCCGGAATCACTGTTCACCAGCGAGCCGTTCAAGTCCAAGAACATGGTGACCTGGCCGGATTTCTGGGCGTCCACCGTCTCGTCGTACTACTATGAGATCGCATCGCAGCCGATGCCCGAAAAAGCTATCCGACAGTCCAGCGAGTCTGGCGAGGTCTTACTCTCGAAGAAAACGCACCTAAAGACGCTGCTTCTCAGCACCTACTACAATTTTTGGGGCCCCGATCTTTACTATGCCCTGCTGTCGCAAGGCGCCGCTGGAGAAGGCGACAAGGAGACGTTCGTCGCCGCGGCGCTCGCTCTCGAAGAGCCCTACTACCAAGTGTCCGAGCCCATCTGCGCCATCGGCCACCGCATCGAGGGCGGCATGGCCGGCTCCGCCATGGTCCAGTACGACCCCGTCGAGGACTACGCGTTGACGCAGAAGGGCGAGTGGCGCGTGCACGGCTCCAAGGCGGCACCGCCGCGCGCATTCTTCATCCACGCCAACTTCCCCAAGTTCAACCCGGCCACGGTCTTCGATGAACAAGCTGTCAATCCGGCCTTCGATGAGAGCGGTAGCTACACACGCGCCTGGACCATCCCTGAGAATGTGATCGAGACATTCGGCTCGGATGTGGAACGGCAGTTCTGGAAGGAGATCCTCTGGACGGCCTGCGAACTGGAAACTAAGTTCAAGTCGTGGGACGGCCGTAACGGTATCTGCAAAGGGGTCAAGAAATACTGGACTGCTATGTTCATGGACGCTAAACCTGAGAGTTAAGGCTCAGACCTAGCAAGTTCTCTTCCTTTTGGGGTTTATTGCATATACCTGGGCTGTTTGCCTTGGTAGCGACACCGAAGGCTACGACTACATCTACTTACCATCTCACAAAAGCCATGTTTTCACATTGGCGAGCTCAACTCTTGCCCTCTATACCTTTTACTTCCATGTCTGCTTTATGAAAGTTTGAGCCACCCTGATTGATATGTTCTCTGCCTTTCTCTGCTTGCTTTCCAGCAAAAGAGAGCGAGCGAGCGAGGAAAGGTGATGCAAACTAAATTGCATCCACATCATCACTGCATGAACAACACCCCACGAACAGACAGCTCATCAGGGCGGGTCCCTTGCTGTTTGATGACGTTTGTTATGCGTTGACGATGCATTTGTTCAAGCAACTGCAAGTAAAATGGCCGGTTTTCCCTTTCTCCCTTTCACCCTTTATTTTCTTTTTCGGTTTATGTTGGCATATTTGTTTCTGCTATCTTTTACCGTTCCTTCTGGAAATAGACTTCTTGTCTTAACTATTGTATCCATGATTTGTATGTATATAATATGATACCTTTTATATTCGTACATATTCTATATAATAATTTACAGGGAGTTGACATTGTCTATGGCTTTTCCTTTTCGCCGTCGGTATAATAACACAGGGATTAGAATGGAATCCGATCGGATCGGATACGGCCTTTTTTCTGGCTCGTTCTTTCACTTTATTGGGATCCAGCGCCGAGACCAGACGCATCGGCTTTCTTCATCGCGTCTGCAAACAGATCTTTACAGCGGACTTGACTTCCCAGTCGTGCGCAGAGCAGGAACGCCCCGCTCAGCTTGCGATGCAGACTATATGTCTCCTCGGGGGGAGGGGCCAGTCGCTCGTGAATCATGACGGGGATCAGGCCGCGCACGCGGTCCGTGATGGTCTGGTTGCTGAAGTTGTAGACGTCTGGCGAAGAGTCCATGAAGGGTTCAGCGAGGGTGAGGATCGAGGTGACGTGGGCGTCGACCATGGCCTTGGACTCGTGGCCGGTGAGGTAGCCCAGTTCGATGGACAGGCGGTGGCAGGTCTCGCGGTCGTTGACGGAGGCTGCGCGCAGGGTGTGAATATATTGGGTGATGAACTCGTCGGGGTATTCGCGCGAGGCGCCGAAGTCGAGCAGCTCGAGGCGGTTGGTCTGCGCGTTGTAGAGGAAGTTGGTCCAGTTGGGGTCAGTCTGCATGTATTTGAACTCGGCGATCTCGCGCAGACAGAGACGCAGAATCTGCGTGCCGATCCAGTTGCGCTGCTCCTGGGTGAAGTCCTGGATTTTGGTGACGGCGACGCCCTCCAGGCGCTCCATTGTTAGAACGTGGCGGCCGGACGCCTCGGGGATGATTTCGGGCACCATGAAGACAGGGTCGTCCCGGAGGAGGTCTCTGAAGCGGTTGCCGCATTCGGCTTCGCGGATGTAGTCGCATTCCCAGGCGAGTTCCGTTCGGGCGTTGGCGATGGTCTTGTCCAGGTAGAGGCCACGAGGGAGCATGCGCGAGGCCGTGAGCAGGAGCGACAGATTGTTCAGGTCGGAGTCAATGGAATCCGCTACGCCGGGGTACTGGACTTTCACCGCGACGCGCTGGCCGGTCTTCTTGAGCACGGCGCCATGGACTTGACCGATTGAAGCGGCAGCCATGGGGATCTCGTCAAATGATGTGTACAGATCGCGCCAGTTGGGGCCTAGGTTGTCGGCCAGAACTTTATCGCGTTGAGAGGCAGGCATGTAGTCTGCCCGGTCTTGGACCCGTTGGAGGACCACGTTCAGCGACTCCGGAAGCATTTTGGAGTCTATAGAGGGTCAGTCATAGAGCGATAAGCGATCCTGAACTCTGTACGAACCTTGGAAGCTCATCATTTGCCCCAATTTGAGCGCAGCTCCGCGCATCTTGGAGAGCTTGGCCACCAGTCGTTCCATGTTTCCTGCGCTGAGTATAATCGACCCATTGGCGTCCTCTGCGCTACCAGTTACCCTTCTCAGCCCCTCGCCAACCGCACCAAAAGCCATCGAAGTTGCCAGTCCACCATATTGCCAGAGCCTTCCTAGTCGAGACGAGGGAATTCGAGATTCGACCATCTTATACGTCTCACGTGCTTGGGGTTCCGCGGCAGCTGCAGGCGTTGTCTGTTCCGAGAATGTTAATGTCCAAGTTTGCTTCTCGACCGCGGCTATTCCACGCACCTCTGGTATACTCGAGGCAATGTCCTCTGCAACACGGGCCTCAACCGAGCCCTTGGGCTCCGCAGCTGGTTTCTTGGAAAGCATCCGAGCCACCTTTGGACTGTGGAAGATCTCGCTCATCATTTCCTCCGGGATCTCATCCTTTGCCGCGGCGGATTTCTCCGGGCCGGCGGACGAGTGAAATACATCTGCATTGATCTGACTCTGGAAATTCTGTTGGGTATCACTAGCATTCTGGGGCAACGTGACTCGCGGAAGACCGGGCGAGTCCGGAGTCGATGCTTGAGATGGCTTGTAAAATGTTTCCTGCTGCGCGCTGATGTCCTCCTTGCTTGTCCCATCTGCCACCGAGTGTCCAGCAGCCTTCGAAGGAATCTGCGTCTCCGATTGTCCCTGTGGCCTCCTTGCTTCTTCCGGGGAAAGCGATGCCGCGGCGTGCGATGGTTGGTACGGCGGACGAGGGGCATCGGCAGGTTGGGACTTCGGCGAGAAGTCAGAGGAATCGGGCTCGTTGAATCGCTTGGCCAACGCGGCTGCCGCCTGCGCGGTGATAATTAGGCCGTCGGCCTGCGCCTTAACGCCCTTGGTGAGCGAGGAGGTCCTGGTAAAGACATCAAGCTGGCGTTGGCGCACGGCAAGGTGCTTCCCTGCAACGGACTTGGCGACATTGAAGAGCTGGATGGCGTCCAGCAGACGCTTTCCCGACATAGTAGCGGTGTGGGGTCAAGGTTATGGGGGAGGAGGAGGAGAGCCTACGCCGAGGGGCTGCTTAGCGGGCTGACTCGCATGCTTGAGATTCTTGAGAGATGATGTCGTTCGCCCTTCGGCCAACTATCTGGTCTAGTAGAAGTGCCACCCTCCGAAGCCGGCCGCCGAGACCCATTTTTCTGCCGGGTCAGACCGCCCTATCGGGCAACGCCGATCTGTTATCGGCAAAAGTCATTGGAGAAGAAAAAAGTATAGATAAGCCCCCGTCGCCCCCCGTTGTCGGCCCCCCTCTGGTCGCTCTCTTTCTTCTCTTGACCATGCTTTCTTGCTGCTTTCCTCCCTAGAGAATGTGTCAATGCCTGGGAAATCGAACCTAGTTGACTTGGAGAAAGAGATCGCGGATCTCGAGTATCGTCTACACAATGCTAGAACCCGTCTAGCCCTAACCTCCGAGCCAGGGGAAAGTGGCGAATCGTCCGCCTACTTGCCTCTCCCTGCCGGTACGTGAGAAAAGCCAGACATGCTCAGGCCTCAAGTCCCTGGAGAGACTATTTGTGAAAAATGCAGACACTAACTGAGCGATTGGATTCAATTGTAGATGCCGTACCACTCGTCCCAACGCACGCGCTGTTGCTGCTATCCGATTCGGCCCTTCCGCTGGGCTCCTTCGCCTACTCCAGCGGTCTGGAATCGTATCTCGCTCACAACAAGCCGCTCCCTCGGTCGATCACACCGCTCGCATCCTTCCACCGCTTTTTGAAACTCTCCATGGCCTCCATGGCAAGCACCTCGCTACCTTACGTCCTCGCCGGCTTCCGAACCCCGCAGGAGCTAGAAACTCTCGACAACGACCTCGACGCATCGACTCCTTGCGTGGTGGCGCAGCGTGCAAGCGTCGCCCAGGGTCGCGCACTGATTGGTGTCTGGGAGCGCGCCTTTCGCGGCACGTACGCCTCGGGGCCGTTTCTCGCGGGGCCGACGGCCACGCAAGCGGTGAAGACCGTCGAGGCGTTCGCGGACGCACTGAAGTCGTCGCTCGGGGACGCGAATGAACTAGGTCCCAAGGGTCATTTGGCGCCGCTCTGGGGCGTCGTCTGTCTGGCCATGGGCATGGACGCGCACCAGACGGCTTATGTGTTCATGTTGAATCACGCCAAGGCAGTTCTCAGCGCCGCAGTCCGGGCGTCGGTGATGGGCCCGTACCAGGCGCAGAATGTTCTAGCGAGCAAGCACCTGCAGGACATGATCGCAGACCGCATCGACCGGGAATGGGACACACCGGTCGAGGACGCGGGGCAGGTGGTGCCTCCGCTAGATCTATGGGTGGGTCGACACGAACTATTATATAGCAGGATTTTTAATTCATAATATCACAAAGTTCTATACCAACATGTTGGTTGCTGCAAAGGAACAATAAAACAAAGACAAAACAATGCCATCGTCGGCGGCGTGACTCCATAATATCGATGCAATTCATCATCCTTATTCTCGTCCATCAACTTCCAAGCTAATCCTACACTTCATGTCTTGTTGTTCCCACACAGAATGCCAATCGAACGATTGACGTGGGTATCCAAAAAAAGAATCTCACTTCCAGCAAAGAAAAAGGGAAAAAGGTAAATGATAAAAATCAGAACAAAACCCAAGTGGGAACCCGGATGCCAGAAGATCCGCCACAGTATGCAAAGACAAACCTCTGCTCAAGAGAACAAGTCGAACGCCGGCCCTTCTGAAATCCTATCCTGCTAAACCGCAAGCAGCAAAACACCGCACCATGAACCTTTTTTCCATGATTTAGGGGGATGAAAGGGTAAAAAAGAGATAAAAGAAATGAAAAGAATAAAATAAAATCGAGTAAAAAGAAAATGGATGAGATCGAAAGGGAGAAAGGAGAAAAGAAGATAAGAGAGAAAAAAAAAAAAGGGGAAAGAAAAAGAAGACGACTGGGAGAAAGGAAAGCTATGGTACACGAAGACGTAAATGCCATTATTGGCAATGGTCCGAAATCACAGGGTAATGTGCATATAGTCGTTATTCCCAAAGGATTTGTTGCAATTGGGACACTTTCGAGACCGCGAAGTGAGGCGTTCTTCAACACATTCCTTGCAGAATACATGGCCGCAGGTCTTGATGGCGGTGTTCTTGAAGTTTCGGCGACACACGGTACAAAGAGCTAGGGTCTTGAGGGTTGACGGTCAGTGCCATGTGCATACCTGCAAGCAAGTGGGAAAAACTTACTCGGAGCATCTCATATTCAGACGATGAGTTTCCAAGGCTCTTATTCTTCCAGTTATCCAGACTCTTTTTCGTATCCGCGAGTGTCACTTTCATACCCTCAAGCTCGGTTTCGGCTTGACGGCAAGCGCTCGAAGCGTTGGCCAACGCTGTGTCTTTGGACACGGATAAGGCCTTGAGTTCGGTGATTTGTCCCTTCAACCCGTCCATGACGATGCCGTTCTCCGTGATTTGTTGTTGCGCGCTGTGGTACTTGCTGGCCATCGAGTGCAATGCTTCCTTGGTCTCGCTGACCTGCTTCTCCATGTTCGCCAGTAACGAACGGCTGGCTGCTTCCGACTCCTTCAGCTGCGAGACAATGTCCGAGCTCTTCGCATTCTGCATTCTTAGCGTCCGGACTTCCATCTCCCGCGCCTCCTTGCTTTTCATGGCCGCGAAATATTTCTGGTCGGCCTTGGACTTCTCGGCTGTCAACCGGGCCACCTTTTCTTCCAGGGCGCTGAGATCCGTAACTTTCTGCGAGGCCAACGAGGAGTATTTCTTGCACGCCGTTTGCATTGATGCGAGTTCGGTGTTGAGCATGGCGTATTGGCGCTCCAAGTTCTGGTAGTTGGCCCGTAGTTCTTCTATGGTGGGTTCCCCGGCCTCTGCTTGTTCCGCCCTGGCCTTCTCGACTTGCAACCGTAATCGTCCCACCTCGGATTCCAACGACGCAATCCGGGCATTCCCGGCCTCCGCTAGTTCCTGGATCTTGATGGACGAGGTTTTCTCTTGTTCCTGGGCGGCCTTTCGCATCTGCTGGTCGGCCAGCAGCTCATCACGTGCATTCCGTATGCGGGCCAAGTCGGTCTCGGCGCGCATCAATTGCGCCTCCTTTTCGGCGATCACATTCTGCGATTCCTCGTCCACTTGGTTGCGGTAGGCCGTTCGCTCCGATCGTAATTTCACTGCCTCTTCACGCAGTTGCACATTAGTCGCCTCCAGGTGGTTGATGCGCTTGATCACATCGTCGTATTGAGATCGCAAATGCTTGAACAGGTCCGTGTGCGCGAAATCGTCGTCCGTTAGTTTGGTACGCTAAGACCCAAGGGGTTAGTCAGCTATCGCCGGCCAGGGGATAACCGAAACCCACCTTGATATTCAACTCGGTCATTTGGCTGAGCAAATTGGCATTTTCCGCCTCCAACTTCTGGATCTGCTCCTTCTGTTTCTCGGAGATGGCGGAGAGTTTCTTGTGGTGGGTTTCGTCCAGTTCAGGGCTGCGGTCACCACCGGGGGTGGCGCCATTGGCGGGTGACTGTTCCTCTCGAGCGGCGGACGCACTGCCATCGCCCCCGGGTCGCTGAGCACCAAAGATGTACTGCTTCTCTAACTTGGCCACGGTCAAGCTGCGTGCGCGATCGAGTTTCTTCTCGGCCACCATGTACCGTAGAGATGCCTCTTCCAGACTCTCTTCCAGTTGTTGCTTTTCCGAGAGTGCCTTTTCCAGTTCCGCAATGGTCGTCTTTTCTTCCGCCAATTTCTTTGCAAGTTGGTTTTGCAAATCCGACACATCGGGCGTCACCTTGGGCGAAGTAGAAAGAAAACGTGAGATGACATCGCTAATATCGTCCGAGCGGGCCTTGAGATGCTTCTCAAAATTCTCAGAATCATCGAATAGCAAGGAGCTTTGGAAACTGGGCCGCCCTGAAGATCCATGTTAGAAACAATTGTTCCAGTGAAGGGTAATGACGATCGGCGGGGATTTCCACCCACCCTTGTTTTCTTCCGGTGTTCCAAGGAGGATTTTGATCTCGTCAATCAACTGGTTGGCTTTGATGTTAGAACACTGGCTTCGAATATCCACATATAAAATGACATATATGGGCGATGTGCATTATACACGACCAACCAATGGAACCAATGGACTCACCTGGTTATACCACGAATCAATCACACGGAGATGTTCATTATGGTAGGTAGTGGCCTTGGACATTTGGCTCAGTTTGGTCTCCAGGGAGACTTTCTCACGCTTGTACTCCTGCATCTGTCGCCATATCGCATCCTTTTGGAATCGCTGTTCATGAAAGAAAAAAGAATGAAGTCAATAAAAACTGCCCTTCTAATAAGATCGCCGCAGTGGGTTCTGCGCTTAGATATGATTTAGAGAATCCTTGGGATAATGAACCCCCCAAATGGATAGGGAAGGGGGGAACTCACCTCTAGGTCATCTTTCCAGGGCATGTCGGCGTCAGGGTGCGGTTTGCCACCACCATTGACAGAAGTCGCCTGCTTCTTCAACGGTGGTGCCGATTCATTGTTTTCATACGTGGCGGCTCTCTTCCGGTCTTCCATCTTGACAAAACCGGACTCGGGAGATGCGACGGGGGATGCTTCGGCGGCCGGCATCAGTGGCTAGAAGGACATGCGCAGGATGAAGCCGTCTCCACTGAGCAGCAGAAAGCCGGGAGCAGAGACCGCAACAGACTCCGACCGTAAAAGAGGACAGGGTGTGTTGATGGGAGAGGGGAGAAGTTGAGATAAGCAAGACTTGGATGGAAGCCAGGAGGATTTTCGGCCTGCGAGTTAGCGTCGCCCTAGCGCCTCTCACGTGACAGCGCCCACTTTCCCCGGGGGTTCAGACGAGCGGCGCATCTAGACTTTTGCGCTCTCTCTCTTTCTCTATCTCCCCTCGTCAACTCCGTCTCCTCCCCCCGTCAGTCAGCTATGACCGTCGATGAAGATGAAGTCCTTCTCGAGCTCCGCCATCAGTAGGTCGATTCTTGTCTTCTCTGTCATTCCCTTCTAACCTCCATCCCTCCTACAGATAAATCGGGCAAGAAATTTGCCCCCAAGGCCCCCGTCCGACGCGCTGCCCCAGCTCCTCCTCGCCGCCCCAGTGTCGCTTCTCAACCCTCAGCTTCTCAAACTCCTCAGCCTGCGACCGAGACCGCGACTCCTGAGCCCAGCCAAGCAGCTCCGATTGTAGAACCTCCCGCTCCTGTCGAGACAGCAATCCCAGAACCCTCTGCGACCCAGACTGCCAGTGTTGTAAAACCATCTTCGTCTGCGACGGCCATCCCGATTCCTCGCTCAACGCGAAAACCTTCAATCTCTGCGGCGACTCCTGCTCTCTCCAATGAACGTCCTACGCCCTCTCAGCCGCCTCAATCCGCTCAACCCTCTCAACCCTCGCAATCCTCTCAGCCTTCCCAGCCTTCCCCGCCCCCACCTAGCACCTCACACGCTGATCCCACCCCGTTGCCTTCGACTGATACGGCCGATAAACAAATTCGAAATGATGCCCTCGTGAATGAACCTGAAAGACTCGATAGTCCTTATGTCCGCGAAGGACCTCAAGCACCTAAGTCGCGTAGCGTTTCCGTTTCCGAGACCTCTACTGAAATCCGACCCTCAAAACGCGTCAAAATCACCCCTGAAGTCAGGCCCACTACTACAGAGCCACAGCCTTCGATCGAGACTCCTCAACTTATAACCCCGCCTGCAACGCAGACTCCCGCAGCTGAATCTACGACGGAAAGCCAAGACACTTCCGAACCACCTGTTACCACCAACGCAAGCCAAAAGACCACGAAATCAAGGAAAAGAAAGGCACCCAAGGATGGAAGTACCACAATCAAAACTAGAGAGAGAAAACCGCGAGCGCGCAAGCAGCGTGAGCCAACCCCCGAGGGCTCTGAACAGGTTGAGATCGCTCCGGGCGTCATCAAAATGTCAGAACTATGCAAGGACTTGCGCACGGGAAAGAAGTCTAAGCGAGAGGCCGAGCTTCGCAAACTAGAACAGGCCGAGCAGGAACGGAAGCAGGCGGCGCAAGAGGAAGGTGCAACCGAGGAGCCACCCGCAGTGAAGCCGAATGAAAATGCCAGCGAGCCTCCAGCAGGGGAGAATGGGGCGGATCAGTCCCAATCCGGTCCAGTGATGAGAATTGTGAATGGAGAGATTGTGCTCGACACTTCGTCTTTGCAAGTTGACCGACACGCTGCAGCGGCGAGGAGCTACGGCGACTTGGAGGATGTGGTGGAAAACTCGTTTACGCGGAAGATCAACCAGTCTACCTACGGAAAGCGCACCAAAACGGAGTCATGGGACGAGGACCTAACGGATCTTTTTTACAAAGGGTTGCGCATGTTCGGCACAGATTTCATGATGATCAGTAAACTTTTCCCTGGGAGGTCTAGACGCCAGATAAAGTTGAAATTTAACAAAGAAGAACGCCGCGACCCCGGCCGCATAAAAGACACCCTTCTGGGTCCACGCGAAACATTCGATATCCACACTTATTCAGAGATGACCAACACGGTCTTCGACGACCCGAAGGTTGTCCAGCAGGAACTGGACGAAGAAAAGAAACGCATTGAAGAACAGCACGCCAAGGACAAACAGGCTCAGGAAGAGCTTCTCCACAATCCAGATGGTGCCGCCGACGGGGCGGATCCCGACAAGCCTAACACTGCGCCTACCAAGGGAAAGCGTAACAATAAGAAGCAAGCTAAAGACATAGGCGGTGCGCAGGAGGAGATCCTGGGCACGATCGATGACTTCCCCTGATCTCAACTCGCGAGCTTAACGTGATTTGGATTTAGCATAGTTTTAATGAGATACCGAGTCAGGTGTTAATTGGCGTTCTTACTTTCTTTGGCACGGTGGGTTGGCTAGGAGTTTTCCTTATTTCAGCATGCTTGGTAATGGTTAATATGATGACGATTATATCCTGCAGTGGCTTTTAAAGTTGAAGTTGCCTTGTATATTTATGATATTATCACTACTTGGCCCATGGAATTTTCATTGAGGAACGTTTATTTGTATGCCGAGGTTCTCTTCGACGGGTATGTCAGTCTCTAGATATAGGTAGCAAGGACATTGTCTGGGTTGAGATTCCTATCGGCGCCTGGTTGATCCAAAACCAGTACTTGTGCTTGTGGAATCGGAATATCGAAACGCAGACCGCGAGCTGCCTTCCCCCGAGTCATATGATCTGTTTCGTTGCCTTGATGAGGACGGTTGCCGGCTCGTAAATGCAGAAGAGTTGTAACCGCTTCGCCTACTGCCGACATTGTAACCAGCCGCAGCACCTCCCAACGCGCCGGTCCAAAAACCAGGTCGCCATCCACGAGAGCTATCAGGATAAGCACTATATGGCGGCGGAGGGTCATAATACGGGCGTCCTCCCCCTCCGCCTCCGCCTCCACCGCCACCATCACCACCAAACCCACCACCCCAGCCACGGCCAGGCGAACGACGTCTTCGATCACCTTGAGCACCAAAGCATTGTCTCAGCATGGGCAACAAGATATATATGAAAACCGCGACGATGAACCCAAAAAATATTAGATCCCCAACCAGTGCCAGTAGCCTTTGCCATTTGTTACGCGCAATGCCCTGCGACAAATTGTCGTCGTGTTGTCGCCCGAATTCCTTCTCGCCCAAGTCCGTCAAGAGGAGCCGGTATTCGACGCCACAGCTGCCTTTCAGAACCCATGGATCGTCCGCATTCCGATATCCCTCACAGATCACGTCCGTCGAGCCCAGTTTGAGCTCGGGTGGTAGTGAAGCGGTACAGGTCCACTGAACATCTTCTTCGTCATAGTCATGGCCGGCGTTTGTGCAGCGCATCACATCAATTGGGTATGATTGGCATATGCGCTTCGATGGTCCAACGCACTGTAGTTGGGGGGTTGGAGAGACGCGACGAGAGGAGGTGAGTCGATCTCCTCGAAGCGTCAAAGTCTGGACTTTGGAGAGGAGGATAGCTTTGTTGCCGGGGGGCGTTTGCGAGGATGCGCCGCCATAAGAGAGAACGGAGGCGGGTAGGAGAAAAGCCAGGAGAAGCTGTGGAATTGTTGGGTGATGCATGGTTAGTGAGTGGCTAGATATTAGTTTCCCATTCCCAAGATGAGCAACAGGATGACAGACAGTCTATGGTTGGTGTTAAGATGAAGGCAGATCGGGCCAGGTTGAACAAAGTTGAAAGTCCCGATAAGGCAGCTCCGGCGCTAGTCCACATTTGGTGGCTCCAACTTTCCTTCTCGCTGCGATTTAAATTATTATTTCATAATCTGGACCGACAGCTTTCTCCAACAACCCGTGGGGCCCTCCATTTCAGCTTCGGGCGTGGCAATGGGTTGAGCATTCCCATCGACTGATACAGCGCCGGAAAATGGATTTCCAACAAGGTCCGATGCCAACGCCTTTTCTATTCTTTATGAACTCTTGACTGACGAACAGCCAGGTGAACCCTCGCCCGTCCCGGCTCCGTCCTCGTACGTCACTCAGTCCAGATTTCCCTACTCTCGCTGGATCTAATCGAATGTCGTAGATTGTCCTTTACGCAAGGATTCCTCCTCGGACAGCTCTCCGTCGTACTCCTGATCGGGGCTTTCATCAAGTTCTTCATCTTCGGCGAAGCACCCCCTCCGCCGTCTCGCGGCCTGCGCTCCGCCACGCATCGTCGCTCCAATTCGATCTATACCACTTCACCGAATGATGGAGCCAATGTCTCCAGGTCGTTAAGAGAAAAGCCTTCGACTTCCAACGTCCTTCGTCCAGTCCCCTCCTCCTCAACCAACACCCGATCTATCCTTCGGAAGACCTACTACAGCGCTATTCCTACAAATCCTGTGAAGCATGGCCGCCATAGGGTCCATCACTCCTCCCACCAACCGGAATCGCTGGATTGGTTCAACGTCCTGATTGCGCAAACGATTGCCCAGTACCGACAAACCGCGTATCTTCTGAAAGACTCGCCTACGTCGTCGATCCTTAGCTCCTTGACAGCAGCGTTGAACAACCCCGAAAAGAAGCCTTCATTCATAGACAAGATCGCGGTGACGGACATATCCCTTGGAGAGGAGTTTCCTATTTTCAGCAATTGTCGCATCATTGCGGTGGATGATCCCAACTCCGATGGGGGGAGGCTCCAGGCATTGATGGACGTTGACTTGAGCGATGACAATCTCTCAATTGCTATCGAGACCTCTTTGCTGATGAACTATCCTAAACCATGCTCGGCAATCCTCCCAGTGGGCCTATCTATATCAGTCGTCCGCTTCTCAGGGACACTGTGCATATCTCTTGTACCTGCGTCTACGCCTCCTCTCGACACTCCATCTCCATCGCCTCCTCCCCCAACCGCGGATGCTGCCAATGCCAGATCACGGCCCAAAAATAATTCGGAGAGAGCTCATCTGCACACCGCCAACACGCAAGAAGACGCTGCTGACGATGGCCCACAAAAAACCGGCACTCCGAAGAGCAATGTCGCGTTTTCGTTTCTGCCGGATTACCGGCTTGATCTTTCTGTGCGATCACTTATCGGTTCGCGTAGCAGACTCCAAGATGTGCCCAAGGTGGCCCAGTTGGTCGAAGCCAGGGTCCATGCCTGGTTTGAAGAGCGAGTCGTTGAACCCCGAGTACAGGTGGTAGGGTTACCGGACCTATGGCCTCGGATGGGCAGAACAGGAGTCCGCACTGGCGAGGACTCAGAGACCGGCTCCAACGGAGCACCTCGGTCCGCCATGTCGGCCGACATGGGCAACTCCCTTCGAGACGACGAGAGCGATCGGGAACCAGAGGGCCTCCGGTATCGGGGAGGACTGGGAACACGGCCGCAGTTTGACAGCGCGTCACGCTCTAGCAGCTTCAACGTTGAGACCGGGGGGTTCCGAAGCCATAGTATGACTCGGGAACACAGTTCCGGAGGCATGAGTGATCCATTCCACATTCCTGGCTCGATGCCCGAAGGCGCAATATCCAATTGAAGCACGCCGGTGTCTGTTCAGTATCAAACGAAGCATGGCGTTCAAGACTGGTGTTGAAAATTTATAACGATTTTAAGAGCATTTTATCTGGGAAATGAACATTATAAAATAACACAGGAATGGCCGTTTTAGGTATGAAAAGGAAAAAAAAAAAGTGTGTCATAATCATAGGCTTGATATGTACAAAATCATCAAGATCGGCCCCGTCATCAAAACAAAGAAATTAACCCAACAACCACGAGCGCATTGACGCACAATATTGTAATCCGGTCAGCTACACATGGTCTTGCACACCGCATAGATTTTGAAAAAGCATTTAGTTTGCAGCAAGAGCAGGAGTAGGAAGCGTCTCAAGATACGACTTGCGATGCTTGTTGGCATCAACCTCCCCGCTTCGGTTCAGCGGCGTCCACTTAGGCTCCTCCTGGAAGAGACGCATGGCCTTGACATACTATGTAAGAATCACCAAGTCAGCAATCCGCCACGACGGTCCACTTAACACTTCAATAGTTCACGGGGTAAGACCCAGACTCACGTTCTTATCATCCGTCGTGAACCGATGGTAGATACCCGCGGGTAAAATAATCAAGTCATCCTTAGACAGCCTGATGCGCACCCACTCATCGCCCTGGCCGCGGACGTCGAAGTAACCCTCGCCGTCACGGATGTACCGGATTTCCTCGTCCTCGTGAAGATGCTCAGCAAAGAACATCTTCACCTTATCCTCGTACACGTCGCCCATGGTCTGGGGCGAGACGGTCACCTCGTCGCGGTTCTTGTAGCCGCGCTCCGCGGCCAGGGCGTCGACGATGTCAATGGTAGGGCAGTGGCGGTAGATAACGCCCAAGGAGGCGAGGTAGGATTCGGAAACGGGGTTGCCGGAGTCGTGGGACTCGCGCTGGTCGCCCTATTTCTTGAAGTCAGCGATTGCAATTGGATGCTAGATAAGTAGATCCTCAAAGACGAGGGGTGGAGGGGTTGTTGCGAAGAACTGCGGGAACGGGACGTACCGGCTTGTTATCGTACCAGTATGCCTTCATTGTGAACGCTTTCGCTTAAATCTGATTGCAAAGGCTGGAATTCGATGCTAGAAAAGATGTATAAGAACTTTGGAGGGAGAAGAGAAGAAGATTGGAGAGAAAAAAGACCCGCGGGGTTGATGAGAATGAGAAAATGCTGCCCCGCAATTGGTTCTTCGGCGATGGCGCAAGAGTCGCGCAGATTACGTCAGCCATGTCTTTTCACCGCCTTCGGAGTTAAGCCTGGACCACGTGATTGCGGAAGAACCGCGGACTTTTTTTTTGTTGGTTGTTTTTGCGCCGCTCCGACAGATTGAGTTGCCTCCTTCTCCTGCTGCAGGACGTTTCTCCTGATTTCTCCCGCTCAGGAATTCCACACCATGTTGGCCTTTCGATCACGGTCGACGGCCGTTGTCCCACGGAGCTACTCCGTTCGTCCTCGGGTTACGAGGACCTTTCGCGGTCTGGCCACCGTCGCCGGTGGCGCTCGGTATGTTAATTGTTCTCCTGGGTTTTTGGTCCGCCTCAATCAAGAATACTAACAGTCTGGCTTCGATAGACCCTATGATGTCGTCGTGATTGGTGGTGGACATGCCGGTTCAGAAGCCTGTGCCGCGGCAGCTCGCTCCGGCGCCCGCACGGCGCTGATCACCCCGTCGCTCTCGAACATCGGCGTCTGCTCGTGTAACCCGAGTTTTGGAGGCATTGGTAAGGGCACAATGATCCGTGAGGTGGATGCTATGGACGGCGTTGCGGGGCGCATCATCGACAAGGCCGGTATAATGTTCCGGTTCCTCAACCGATCCAAAGGACCCGCTGTCTGGGGCCCGCGTGCCCAGATCGATCGTGACCTGTACAAAGGATACATGCAGGAGGAGCTGCTGCAGACGGACGGATTGAGTATTCTGGAAGGCAAAGTGGCGGATATCGTGATTTCGACGGACGGGATGGAAAATAGCACGGGCCCGGCGAAGGGCAAGATCGTTGGTGTCAAACTGGAAACCGGGGAAGTCATCCCCACTGGCCGGGTGGTTATCACCACGGGGACTTTCCTAGGAGGTGAGATCCATATCGGCCTCAAAGTTTTCCCCTCGGGTCGTATCGGTGAAGCTGCTACCTTTGGACTGAGCAAATCTCTTCGCGAGGCGGGCTTCCAGCTCGGTCGGCTCAAGACCGGAACGCCGCCGCGACTGGACATGAAAACGATCGACTTCAAGCCGTTGGAGATTCACCAAGGAGAGTCGCCTCCCCAGCCCTTCTCGTATCTGAATAAAAGGGTGCAAGTGGACACAGACGACCAGCTTCCGTGTTGGATCACGCGGACAAACGAAGCTACCCATGACATTGTTCGGGCCAACTTGGACAAGTCGGTGCACATTCGCGAGACGGTTAAGGGCCCGAGATACTGTCCATCCTTGGAGTCCAAGATTATCCGGTTCCATGAGAAGAAGAGTCATTTGATCTGGTTGGAGCCGGAAGGGTTCGCGCCTAACGAGGTGATCTATCCGAATGGAATTTCCATGACCATTCCAGAGGATGCTCAGCTTGCCATGTTGAAGACCATCCGGGGTCTTGAGAATGTACACATGCTTCAGCCAGGTTACGGCGTGGAATACGACTACATTGACCCTCGCAATCTCTGGCCCACGCTCGAAACCAAGCTGATCAACGGTCTTTACCTCGCCGGGCAAATCAACGGCACCACCGGATACGAAGAAGCGGCGGGACAAGGAATCATCGCCGGAGCCAATGCCGGTCTGGCCGCCCAGAGCCGAGTGCCGCTCACCCTCAGCCGGGCAGACGGGTTCATCGGTATCATGATCGACGACCTCATCACCAAGGGCGTGTCTGAGCCCTACCGCATGTTCACAACCCGGAGTGAATACCGGATCACGACTCGGTCCGACAACGCCGACATGCGTCTGACGGCCAAGGCGTTCAAGGCGGGCATCGTCTCGGACGAGCGCTGGCAGCATTTCCGCGACATCGAAGCGCAAATCAAACAGCTCACGGCTCTACTCAGCAACACGAAAAAGACCGCCCACGCGTGGAACCGCCTGGGCTTCGAGGCTCGCATCGATTCCTCCACCCGTTCCGCCCTCGACCTTCTCCATGTCAAAAACATCGACCTGGACTCCTTGATCCCCTTTATTGACTCGCCCTCCGGAATCACCTACACTGCCTCCTCCTTCGCCCCCGAGATCAAAACCCGCGTCGCCATCGAAAAGCACTACGAGCACGTCGCCGCCCGGCAGGAGGCCAGCGCACGGAAATTCCTACAGGATGAAGGCCTTCTCCTTCCCGCCGATATGGATTACCAGCAGGTCCACGGTCTCAGTAGCGAAGAGAAGCAGGCTCTCGAGCGCGCCCGACCCGTCAGTGTCGGCATGGCACGACGTATCGAAGGTGTCACACCAGTCGGAGCTCTGTTCCTACTTCCGTATGCGCGGAGAGACACCCCTGTGGACGCCGAGTCTACGACGGAACTTGATGCCGACACTGAGAATCTGGAGGTCACTCCAGACACTCAGTTGGGCAATTGAAAGAAGGAAAGGAAAAGACAAAAGGATGTGGGCTAACATACCACTCGCCCACCACCTTTTCTTCCTCCCTTTGATCTTCCCCCATCGTCAAATATTAATACCCATGCATTCAACGGCGAAATTGTACAATATTTAATCATCTTGATTCAGGCATCTTTTTTTTTTTTTTTTTTTTTGGTTTTTGTGAGATTTAAACCAGCGAGAGGAACAGCTCACGGCGCATTATGGAAGGAAAGGGAACAAAATCAGCAGGGTCGTCAATTCGATGACCAGATTCATATCATGCTAATCATGTATATTCTTCGGTTTTTATCGTTGTTTACACTGGACATGTTATACCATCATTTATACGATGTCGAATCTCCCGTCGGTATTTTTTATGTATTTATGTATATCAGCAAATAAGGAGTAGAAATATTTAACAATCTCAAATGATTACATTTCACAATTCACATATTCCAAGAGAGTAAACACATCCTAGAAAGATAATTGAACAAAGAAAGATTGTGCTCGCCTGAATTAATTTGACAACCATCCATTATGATGCTAAGGTAGGAAGGTAGGTATGCAGGTATGCCACGGCTATCTATATACATACAATACACAAGGTACTATACAGCTCGGACTCGAATTCGATAATCTACGAAGACTTTTTGTTTGCGCTGGCCCTGGCAATGCGCTTCTGAATTTCCTCCTTCGTGAGGATTTTCACCGCGTTCCTGGAGAAGACGTAGCTCAGGCCGGACCAGAGGGTGGTTCCTGCGACGAGGTACCTAAATTGGGTTGTCAGTCAGACATTTGGGGGTGCAAATGTAAAGGCGACGAAGAAGACAATATGTGGTGAGCAGAAAAAAAGAAAACAAAAACATACAACAGCAGGGATTCGCTGGTGGTCACCCACCCAACTACTAACCTGCCGGCGTGTGGCTTAAGTACGGCTGAGCGGACGGGAAGCCCTGTTCTCCACACCCTGTGGTCGTATGTACTTAGAGCGGGTAAACAGTGGACCATACCGCCCGCCTGCACATTTACGGTCCTTGCTAAAATGGCAGACCACGCCAAAGGGGGAAGGGAGGGACACGAATATGCTGATATAAAGCTGGCGCATCATGAGACATTGTACTTACTGGAATGCGGTCATTGCCTCCTTCAGGTGCCATGCATCAAGGAAAGCCTCGGGAACCACAGGCATGGCGATGGCACTTCCAACGAGCAGAAGCTGCAGAGCTGTGTTGACCTTTGAGACTGCCGTAGGCTTCACTTCTGCAGATGGCAGAGAGAAATCCCAGTAGCGGGCCATAGTCTTGGGCGGCGGGAGAGAGATCCAGCGATAATAGATAGCGGATATGGCAAGACCAATATCTCGGCCAAGGATGATGACAGCAAGCCAAACTAGGGAGTCCCCGTTAGCATAGCACAGAGATGGGTAGACGGACGCAACGCACCGGGGATGGATCCATTGACCGCCAAACAAGCAACACCGATGGTCATCAGTAGCTTGTCGGCCATCGGATCGATGATCGTGCCAACTACCGTTTGGAGGTTATAGCGTCGTGCAATATAACCATCAACCAGGTCCGTGATACCAGCATACGCAAAGAGTCCCAGCGCTGCTGCATGGTGGTCGTGCACCAGGAAGTAACCTACTAGAGGTGCAGCGACCAAGCGAGAGAAGGTGAGAATGTTGGGCACGGTGTAAATGTTCTCATGAGTGGTGGGACGAGGTATCCGGGAGAGAATTGGCGACTTCTTGGAGTCGGACTTAGAGCTGAGCCAGATCAGTTTTGAATCTCGGAATATCGACTCGCATACCGAAGATGATTTCGCATGGGTTGTACATTATATAATGCACATGTACTAAACAGTCGACATTAAGAGGAAACGAGGAGCCTGAAGACCTACCCATCAGACGTCAGTTGACCCGATTCTTTCTTCCCCTCCAACAGCGTCTTCTGCTGATGAAATGCTTGTGCCCATTGGGATGCCCCGGTACAGGTCAATGATTTCATTGCCGTTGGTCTGGAAACCGGTCAATATTATTCTGGTTGGCAAAATGGAAAAGTCCTACCGGTATTGTAGGGAGCGCGAGTGCCTCGCCGACGTAAATATCGAAGAGTAGCAGGGCTCCCTTGGCCGAACCCCCTGCCAGACTGTCCGCGCGGCAGAGCCATGGGCAGTGGGGATGGATTTGATGCCATTGAATAGGCGGGGACCATATTGTCCGGATGCGCGTATAGGCGCGAGAAGGAACGGTTTTGCAGCCATGGTGGGTCTTCAACACTTTGGGATAGAGTGGAATAAACGGACTAGCTTATGGTGATGCTGATAGAAAAAGCGAATAAGGGTAGTGTGAGGTGTACTAGTTCATTCCATGGACCGCTCGCAAGATCCTGAGAAGGGAATCAGGTAGAGTGACCTAAATGAATTTTCTGCCCTCCCTGGACCATCAACTCAGATAATGAGAAAAGATGAATCGATCAAGGTTCAAGCTATCCTCAAGTGCCGTAGATGATCAATACAACCGAGGTGCTCAAATTCTCCGCTTCGGGATATATCCGATTGCAAAGAACTTTCAATTGAGAAACGACGTGATTCAAAGACGAGCCAGGCAACTGCCTTCCACAGAGGAATGCAATTGCGCCCGACGAGTGGCCGAAGCGACGAGGACGAAGTATGTAGAAGAGAAGAAGATGAACCGACCAATCGAGACCCCGTGATTCGGGGAGGGCGCGTTCGGAACATCATTCTCCCCGATACAGTCACGTGTCTGTCATCTCCCCCGGTCACATGCGGCGCCGTGGTTGCCTGTTCTGTCAGGCCAGCCATGAATGCTCTCTCCTCCCAGGAATCATTCGATTCAACTATAAATAAGCATAATGACCACCCCAGCCACACACGCGGAGAATGATGTATCTCCAGGGAATATCGTCGCAGGATCTAGAGCAGGATCTAGACAGTTTCACCTTCATGCTATGCTTTCCCCACTTCACTAATGCGAATGATCGGGACTATGACTACTACTAGCATCACACTCCAGGTCAGAAAACTACAACGAGTGCCTATCATCAGCCATCGAGAGAAGGGGAACAATCATGAAAGCCGACAAATGAGAGAACCGTGGGAAAAATGCAGTAGACAAGCGCAGATGACATCTCGATTCACCAGATCGGCGGTGCTTCCATTCATACTACGACTGCCACACTCATCTGACTCCGAGCGGCTCGTCTCACCTGATAAGAAGAGCAGATGTCCCCCAATTGTTGTCGTCATCAAAGAACCTCCTCCCATAAGTGATGGTTTCCCTAACACAATCTCACGCAATGGATTTCGTCAATCTCCTCGCTCTCGATCCAATATAGGATGCAGTTCTTGTTAACAGCGCCGCTATGGGAACTACGCCGGATGATAGCGACAGCACCGAGTCCTTGCCTGCCCCTGTCCCTAAGAGACGCACCATGGCCATGGTGACAATCGATCGCCCGACGGTTGCACCTCCAGTGAGGGTTCCCGCTCCACTCCCACCGGATCCTCCATCCTCCAGAAGATCGAGCACGTCGCCCGGCAACTCGGAGGTGATTGCAGACCCCAATATCGCCAACCCTCGCCTTTTGATCAACCAAGCTTGTATCTATGAGCGTCGACTACCCGGCGATGCCTACATCACCGCCCATGTGCAGCGCCTGCAGCATGGCTTTTACTCTAGCTCCGCCGTTTCGGATCAGGACTCCGACCACGTTGACTTCCTCGGCATACATTTCGTCTTTCATTCACCCAACACCATGACGCATCGCTTTAAAGCAGCCACCATCCGCGCTTCGGTCCAGAGCAACCGCGACAAACCCTCGTCGTCCTCCGCGCCTCCGACCAGAAGACGCTCCGGCACCTCGCGCAGCCAGCGGATTCCCTCGCGCCCGCGAAATCCGCGCTTCCTCAAGCACGCGCCGCATCTCCTCTACGGCGCCATGTCGCCGGAAACTCTGCAATGGAACTACAGTCTCGCGGGGTCGATAGGAGTCGCCCAACTACCACTGATGGCCAGCTTGTCGCCGTCTGGGGGTATAAACGGTCGATATCGACGGTACGAGATGATGCGCATCCAAGGGTCGGTTCGATCGCTGAAAAGTCCACGCGGACACAAATTCGACGTCGAGGCCGGTGAGATCGTCTGGACGCTCGAAGAAAACAATCTACAGCGGTCGGGCCTGCCGCGGGAGTTCACGTTCGCTATGTTGATCCAGAAACCGCGCGCCGAAAGCCGCGTGCGATTCGCCCTCGACATCGAACCGGTACTGCAATTCGGCTACTGGACCTATCCCAGCTGGTGGTTAGACATTCCCAAGTATCAGCCCGTGCCCCGACGGCCGCTCGACTTCCGAGTCCAAGTGGGCCAGCGGTTCGAACCTATCACGTCCTCGAAAGGATTCAATTTCGCGACCTTAGAAAGCTCTTTCGATGATTACGTGCACATGCCTGGTCGGAAGGTCTCTTCCATGGTAAGTCAACAGAACACTCCTCCCCTCTAGCCTTCAATGATACAGAGCATGCTCCTAACGTCCCGGGAATAGATTGCCGCAGACGGAGGACTAACCCAAGATGACAATGAGATCCGGCGCGACGTCACGCGAGACTTTAGCCTAGTCGAGCCAGTGCGAGGGCCTACTTGGCGTCCTCTCTCCGTCGATGCAGGCCAATTACCCTTAGCCGCTGCATTTCCCAACACGATACCGGCAAACCAGGCCGTCGTGCCGATGGTACCAGGATTTGACTCGGGGTCGATATCGATACGAGTTCTACTAGACAAGGAGAATGTGAATAGCGATTCTGATAAAGAGAGCAATTAACCCATTCTATCAAGGCCGGGCCTCGGTTTTGACATCAAAAAAATTCTCCCTCTATTACCTCGCTACGAGACACACAAACAGACATATCTTGAGAGACACCACCACCAAACACTTTCATTCTCTCCAAGTACTTCCCTCGAACATGAATCACAGACATACGAGTACCTACCTACCTGCCTACCTACCTACCTAGATTGACCTAACCCTCACCTCACACCAACACACCCATCCTCCACCCTTTACTTCTACTTCTACTTAAACTGCTGTATTTTAGCCATGATTAGCTAAGAATTCAATCGAGACACATTCATTCATTCATGATCATGATGAACAATGTACGAGAATAATAATGATAAATGCATACTGTAGATCTGAGATCACCGCAGTGGACCCAACCCCATCTACTCCGTCCATCCGCCACCGAGATCTCGGAAAAAACCGGGGATCGGTCAGGATCGGTCAACTCCACCTCCCGAATAATGATCTGCATCCTCCATCGACATCATCGACATTCCTCAGATGTGCATACTCCGTACATACTTAGTACTTACTATGTAGTATGTATGTAAGGATAGTATCTGAGAGATCTAGATGAATGTAGGCTTATGTATCTATCTATCTATGACAATTATACCTACAAGTTCTTCCCTTCTCCCTGTGGGTAAAGTAGGTAAGGTAGTATTCATCAAAACTCCACCACAACCCCAACCCCAACGGATTGATCCTACAAGTTACGGTGACATCTAACAGATAGAAAGATCATAGAATAGAAGAAACCAAGAAAAAATGTATTACACCGGTCGCATGAAGATACAATACCAAACAACTAATGAATTCCGATCATGTAGGTAGAAATTGCTTGCTGTCGAACTAGCGAAACTACCAATACCAGCCAGGTGAAAGGATACCTTGTGACCGGCTCCCTCGCTGAAAACAAGATAATAGTAATAGGACGCATAAACCTGAGCCGAAGAGAGTGGTAATAGAACGAATGAAATGAAGAGGGACAGGAAGCAAAGCAACGCAAGTAAGAAAGACCCACACACAGAGAGAGAGCAAGCAATATGAAAAAAAAAAAAAAAAAAAAACAAACGGACCATAGAATTTGCATCAAACCAAGGCCGATGGGCCTAAACGACATCAACTTTCCTGATGGGTATCCCAGACCAAAGTCCACGGCTTTCCTCCCTTATTTAACAAACGTAGGATATGAAGATTGCAGACTGAAAAGCAAAAAGCAAAACAATAACGATAGCGATAAAAATAAATCAGATAGCCGCCCCAGACCGTGCCACCCAAACCGACCCATTGCTCATAATCACATTAAAGCGACACGCACGAAAGAAAGAAAAATCGTTCCCATGAGAAAAACGGAATAGAATAGAGATAAGGAAGAAAAAGGAAAAAAAAAAAAAAAAAAAAAAAAAAAAGGTAAAAAAAGGTGAAAAAAGGACGACTGCAGGGGAATAGATGTTGGGGGTTTATCGTATCATCGTTGGGAACACAAAAGAAAGTCGTGTTGCAACAAACAGAGAAAGCCGCCAACATCTCCTCTAAGAGCAAGATTTCATCGAATAATCATCCGCAGAATGTATGTATAGTCTATTTCCCGTATTGCCGCCCTTCCGAAGATTGAAAACGTATGTGAGAAAAGAAGTGAAGTAAACGAGCGAGTCGAATGAAACGAAAAGAGAGAAAGAAGGAGACAAAGAAAAGATATGAAAAGGGTATTTTATACTTGTGGCTGAGCCGGAGCAGCCGTAGTCCAGGCAGGGACCGGATAAGGAGCATGAGCCGCCGGAGCTGTGGTGCTCATGTAATACTGACTCCGGTCACTCGTGCCGTAATAAGGATTGGGGATTGGGTTCGACTCCCGACGAGGGATGCTGGGGTCAAACGCGGCCATGCTGCGCTGATCTAAGGACGGATGAGACGAGGCATCCAATTGACCTGCCAGACTGAAACTACCGCCGCGTGAATAGGTGGCAGGAGTCGAAGGATCGATTGGCGATGTTGCATCGGTTGCAACGCTCCGAGAAGAAATAGAGGATCGGTAGGCCGATGGGCTGTGATCCGACTGCGAGCGATTCCGGTCACTCAAAGAGTTCGACATGGCCGTGTTGAGCGCTGAAGGAATCGATGAAGATAGCGAATTCTGGCCCAGGGCATCGAATCCAGTGCCATATGGCGCCGGAGCCCGGAAGTGCGGGTAGTCGTCCGGCTTATGCGGAATCTGGGTAGGGAGGGTGGGCGTGGGGAGGTACGAATTGGGAGCCTGTACCCCGGGGACCGATCCTACCATTGAATATCCAGTGATAGGTGCCGACTGTGGTGGATGGGTGGCAGTGTACGATGCTGGGTGCATGTAAAATTCTGGGTGAGGGTTTGGGATGCTGTATCCTGGCGCCACCAGCTGAGGACGATACCCATATAAAGCAGCATGAGACGGATCGTTCGGATTCTCCAGCGTTCCCGTTTCCAGATCGTCGATCGGAGCCCGAAAGCTTTGCTTTTGAGTCAGCTCCATACGAGGTCGAATATAGCGTAAGTCATTGCACATCGACGGCGGGTTCAAATTCCCTCGCATCACATCCTCCACGCTGTAATATGAAACCAAGTGATGAGTCACCCCCGAAACGGTCACGCTCATCGTCTTTTTCACCAAACCGGAGTCCTTGAAGCCGTATGAGTCTACCAGAGAGCCGACCAATGCGCGTTCCATGTCACTCTGCTGCGTGCGTTCCCCAAACGAGCCCGTCGTCGGGGCGGGAGAGTAGGCTTGCGCGTTGCTCTCATGTCGTGGATAGGGCTCTCCTGGTCTCGTTGAGGGTACGGGGCGTCGATTAGCTTTCTTCATCGCGCGCTTCTTCTCGCCAGGCGGAAAGGGTTTTTCGAGCTCTCGGTAGACGAGGAAATTGCCTAGGATTCGACTGGGACTCCAGGTCACTCCGTCCGTCCATCGCTTGATGCCCGACGAGTTCTCCTCGTAGATGAAGACGGTACCACTGCGAACCAGGCTGGCGCGTTCTCGATCATGAGGCCGACGGGGCACATGGTGCAGAACGCCGGTCAAACAAGCCTCGAACAAGATCAGCGCGTCCTGCGTCGTTGCGACGTAGCCATAATACGTCGGCTCCAACGTCGTCGTCGTGCCGTTGACCATCGTGGAAGGAAATTGATTTTGATTTGGGGGTTCGAACTTTAGTCGAAAGGGGTCGGAGAGGTAAAAGCAATCAGAGTTAACACCGTCGCTGATCAAGGTTTCCCAGCAACGCGGCTACTTAAGACACGCCGATTTAAGGCCAACACCCAGGGGCCAGGGAAGAAAATCGCACGTGTGCAGGCGGACGAGAGGGGATAAGCAGAAACAAAGTAGTCGCAGCCGCCCAGAACGTGAGAACCAACAGAGAAGAAATTCGCGAATGGAAAATCAAACTGGCAACGGAGACGATGCAAGGATTAAAGAAAAGAAAATAAGAAGCAGGGAGGGGGAGGCAAATAACCTCACAGGAAAGAGGGAGCCTCCCGAGGGTAGAGACGAGAGGATGACAGGTTGAGGAAAAGCTCACGGAGGGAGTGAACCAAAGGACAGGGTCGATGGTGGGAGTTTAAACCCCCGTCGTCAAGAGTTTAAGATTACCCAGTCTTGGGCGCCCGGATCGACAGGCAAGCACGGGCCCGTTCTTTCTCAAATCTTCGTTGAGGGACAGGTTGGATCTGGAGAGAGAATCGCCTGGCCCTAGTGAAAAGCTGGGTCGACTGGAGCTCTAGTTCCACGGATAGCGATCGGATCGTATGGGTTATTGGGTTGACTAGACACCTCAACCAAAGGAAAGCTGCGGTAATTCCCAGACAGACTGACGAGCAGAAGGCCCGATTGTTGGAACCAGGTATCTGGTATAGAAAAAAAAAAAAGAAAAGAAAAAAGAAAAGAAAAAAGAAAAAAGAAAAAAAAAAAAAAAAAAGAAGCAAGACAAGAAGTCAATCAATCAAGTTCACAATCCAAGATGGAAAGACACAGGGAAAGAGAGAGAGAGACCAGCTCAGCTTACGATGAGCTGTTCGGTGCCTGTTTCGGAGGAGGAATGTAAGCCGATTTATCCACACTAGGATTGACAACAGCCACCAGTGCCATACGAGGTGGGAGGAAAGACAGAGATCAAAGGAATGAAACACGATGGAGATGGAGATGGGAATGGAAATGGAAAAGATATTAAACGTCAACCAGAAGGAGAAAGGGCCCAAGGAATAATAATAATAAAAAAGATTAGGAAAAAAAAGAGAAAAAGAAAAGAAAAGAAAAAAAGGTGAATAATAATAATAAATTAGGAAGCTTCAACTCCTGCAGGGTTGCTTTTCTGAAAAAGTAAGGTAGGTATTGTAATTTGTAAGCGCTGTTTTTTTCATTTTTATTTTTTTCTTTAATTCTCTTTGCTCTTGTATTTTCTTTTTACCCTTTCCTCCAAAATGATATGCTTCAAAGTGCACGAACTTCGTTTTGGGGGGAGGAGGGAAGGGGAAAAGAAAATCCACATAAAATGATAATAATAATAATAGTAAGCCCCTTTCCTGATGATGATGATGATGATCGAGGAGCAGATTAATTATTATTATTATTATTTTAATAATGGATTTTTCAATTTTCCCCCCCAGGGCAAAAAAAGAAAGAGAGCGAGAGAGAGAAGAAATAAAAAAAAAAAAAAAAAAAAAATTAAAAAGGAAGTGGACGACGATGAATGGGCGAAAAGGCAGGTTCCAGCTAGGCCAGAAGCCGGGCAGGGAGTGCGGGTTGCAGGGAAAAGGGCGATGGACACAGACACAGACACAGACACAGACAAGACAGCCAGCGACGGGTGACAGCGACAGAGACAAGAGCGCGAGACACGACCCGACCCAAGTCCCAAGGCCAAAGCCAGACCGTGAAGAGTGACCGGCGTGGGCGGGGCGACCCAGGATGGCAGGCCCGAGCAGAGGGCCCGGCGGCAGAAAATGAGGATGGGATGGGATGGGTGGGTGCAACTAGTGATTCCAAGGAGCAGGGCAACGCCGGAACTCGACGGTGGATCTCCATCCATGAGGCCATCGCGGACCCATCATTTCATTCATGCATTCCACTGGAAAGCTGAAAATGGTCTGGAGGCAACATCGATTTTCGGATCATTTTAGGGGGACTGGGGAACGTCACAACTTTTTTTTTCTCTTTTCTTTTCTGTGTTTCTTTCTTGCCCACCCCAGCAGGATTGAATCATGGCCACCTGAACGGGCTGTCCAGTCTCGGGCCAAGGAAGAAAGTCCCAGAAAAAAGAAATCAAAAAGGAATCAAATCAAAATAAACGAAACAAACTTCAAACTTCATATAGAAATAGGCAATAGAAACAGACTTACCAAAGAAGAATCAATCCAAGAGAGCCTGTGGGGATGACAGAAGCAGGTACCCCGTTTCACTTTTCTCGCTCTTCTGGGTTTAGGAAATGCTGGTAACTACCCAACCTTAATATCGCAGTAATGACGTTCTCTATTTTTGCGTTTTTTCCCCCTTCGGTTCTCCGAGTCGTTCCTTCGATATAGTTGTCTTTTTTGTTTTCTTATTCTTCTTCGATGGAAGTTTCTCTGGAACTCTGTCAGGGATTTTCAGAAAACACTGGACGATGCCGACGAGTGCAAGGAATCCGACGTATGCAGTTGACTGAATCCAGAAAGGAGGGGGAAGAGGGGCAGTTTCATCGATAATCGACCCGCGACAAGTCCAGCTTGGAAGAGAGCGTTGCTTAACCTGGAGGAAATCGACAGGGGAAACTAGTGACTAGCACCCAAGAGATGGAGGTAGAGATAGAGTAGAGATTGAGTTTACAGAGGGGAAAGGAAGAAAACGCAAGGTGGGCGCGGTGGAATCCTTTAAAGGGAGGAACAGGCGGGAGTCAGAAGCGGGGGAAAAGGGAGAGGTCGCTGGACGATGCTGAGGACGAAGGGGTAATGGTGACGGCGACGGCGACGGCGACAGTAATGATGATGGGATTATGAGGCTTCAGGAAAGAACCGTCCCGGTAAGTATTTGTATACCATACGCCGTATAGTAAATTGGTTGAATTTGAAGGTTGAAGGGCACCTGATGTTGGAGATGGGGATGGATCATGGGTGGAATGGAACGGAGACGGACTGACTTCCCAGGTCCCTACAACTCGTGGCAGCAGGCGAGGGCTATAGCAAACTAGCAGATCACTAACAATACTAAGCATAATAAGGCAAAAGGCAGGATTAGTCTACTCCGTAGTGATCTCGAGAATTCCAGATAGCAACATCCGCATGGCGTTGAGTTAGCGCAGGTATTTCCACCGGAGCCGTGTAGAATCGTCATCGGCCCTGCGCCATGGGTCTCCAGGGACGCGACCATTCAGGTGGGGGGCGTCTTTCTATTGGCAGTTCCGTTATTATTTTATTTCTTTCTTATTGAGAAGCATTCAAAAAAGGGAACGGCGAAGGAGGGGGCTGTGTGTGGTCACTTTTAGTTGTTGGTGAACTGGCGAAAAGGCCCTTTTTTGGGAGCCGAGGGATCAAAGGGAGGAGAAGGAGGATTCTTACTACAAAAGAGAGCGAGGATAGCCAAATAATCGAGAATTGATTCATGCTCGATTGATTGAGTATAAACAGTGCAACACTGACTAGCATTTACTTCGTACATTTTTAACTCTCCACCCAACAGATGGAGAAGCATATCTCAGAAGCTCCAGAAACTATATCGTTGGATCTCATCAGCAGTGGTTCTTTCTTTCAACGTACTCCGTAGGTCTTACTCCGTAACATGATTGCCACTTTTCTTTTTTTCTCTCTTTAATTTAGCTCAATCTTATCCCAGTATTCCTAATCGGTAAAAATTGCTCCATCTTCACATTCACAGCGTCCAGCGTCAACACGATACCTCCTAGGTACGTCCGAACCACAGCTCCGCGTCTACGCCACCGACCCGTACAGCGACCGTACTCCGTGCTACAGGACCCGCCTGGCGATTTCCAAACTCCTAGAAAGTCCAAGCGTCTCTCTCTCTCCTTCTCCCTCTTTCTCTTGATTTAATTCCAACATGACCTGGCCTCGGTCTTGAATATGAACATGAAGATGAACATGACTGATTGAGGGGTTGCCTGCAGGGGTGGAACCAGCCCAAGACTCTAGAGTCCTCCAACCACGGCTCCGCCCCTGAGGAAAGAATCTGGCGGCAAAAAGATGATGTGCACCGGTCATCGGTCTCGGGCAGCCCCAGCACCACCCTAAATTCCTGTACGGAGTAGTCCCAGTTCCAGGTTCCATCCCTCCTCCTCCTGCTCTCATTATTACTACGGAGTATTACTATTATTATTACTACTACTCCGTACTATTATTCATTCCATTCATTGATTTATTCATTCTCATTCTCATTCTCGTTCATGTCCCTACGGAGTATTGCCTCACCTTCGTGTCCCTGGTCGATCAAACCATCATCCTTGGATAACCGAGACCTTGTCATTCGCTATACCAGTTCTTCGGCCTAGAGGCTACCATACATACCTAGGGACTCGTAATGATAATACAATATATCCCTCAGACCTTGGTCCATGCGTTTGCAATCTACCATACCCTCTTTAGATTTTGATATGACAGTTTAATTTAATTTTAATCTAAGGCTATGTATATCCCGTACGCCTAGATTAATCGTAATTCATCAGCCGAGAGTTATAATGAACATAATAAGGACTAATGATGGTAAAGGTGGACATGAGTCAACACGGCCGCCTAACGAGCATCTAAATCCTTAGACCTCCCTACTAGTTAGTCACGGGCTGTTATTATTATGGCTATGATTATTGCATAGTGCAATGCGGGGCCAAGGAGAGGAGGGGATTGGTTCCAGGGAAAGTGACGGTGCCCAGAGCCAGAAAGAAGTACTCAGTAGAGACTTGGTAAACAGATAGATACCTACCTACTGTACCTCATCCACTTACGGCGTCCTAATTAGTAGTCCAATCCATTCCAGTCGAATCGAGTCCACCCGCCCCTCGATATCGGGAATTCTTGGAGCGGGAACGAGAATGGGTCGACTCCATGCTGGTGGAAGTGTGGTTGAGCCATTGTTGTGATTCTCTGGTCTGGTAGGATTTCAAGACCGGAACCCCGATCAGGCAAAACGCGGTC